CGAGAAGAGCAGGGAGGGTGAAAATGCAGCCTATCGGGTCTCTGACTTTCCTGGGGCCTATAAAGGGATGAAATGAGACAGGCTGGAAGTCTGTCCTGCATGAACTTTGTCAAGTAGGAGGGCAGATGAAAGGAATACCAGATATTGTCATTGCCTTTGACCTCTCCTGGAAGGCTTCGTGGCAGTCCTATTCCGACCGATGGATGACATGGTTGGCAGTCCAGTGGGTGTCCTTGCAGAGATTGCTCCTAATACACTGTGAAGCAACGGCAGGTACAATGCATGCGCCACCAGGCACGTGTGTCCCAATCTTCCCATTCTCACTCTTGACGCTCTGGCCCTAAGCTTTGCCTTAAACTGTTTCCCAGGAACCAAGGCTGAAACAGATGTGTTGCGAAAAATCTTCTCTGCAGCTGTGACTTATCTTTTGTTTTATTTAGGATTATTATTTTTTTAAGATTTATTCATTTTTAGTGGAAAGTCAGATATACAGAGAGGAGAAGAGACAGAGAAGAAGATCTTCCGTCCGATGATTCACTCCCCAAGTGAGCGCAACGGCCGATGCTATGCTGATCCAAAGCCAGGATCCAGGAACTTCCTCTGGGTATCCCACACGGGTGCAGAGTCCCAAGGCTTTGGGCCGTCCTCGACTGCTTTCCCAGGCCACAGGCAGAGAGCTGGGTGGGAAGTGGAGCTGCCAGGATTAGAACCGGTGCCCATATGGGATCCTGGTGCATTCAAGGCGAGGACTCTGCTAGGTCACCCCGCCGGGCCCTAGGATTATTTTTTAAAATTTATTTATTTTTTTATTGGAAAAGCAATTTTATAGATAGAAGGAAAGATCTTCCATCTGCTGTTTCATTCCCAAAGTGGTTACAAAAGTTGGAGCTGAGCCAATCAGAAGCTAGAAGCCAAGAGCTTCTGTTTTTCCTAAGTGATTTCAGGGTCCTCAGGCTTTGGGACACACTCTACTCCTTTTCCCAGGCCGCAAGCAGGGAGCTTAAAGGGAAGGGGAGTAGTGGGGACATGAACAGCACCCTTATGGGTTGGCAGTGCTTGCAGGCAGAGGATTAGCCAATTGAGCCATGGCACCACCTTTCTCTCACAGCAGAGTACTGAGGTTCAATTTGCAGCTCCAGCTCCTTATTCCACCTTTCTGCCAATCTGGATCCTGGGAATAAGCAGCAGCAGATGGCTCAAGTGACTGGAGTGCTTCTACCCAAGGCCTCCTGTGCCCCTGCGGCATTTGGGGACTGAACATGACAATGGAGCGCTCTCTATTTGCCTCCCTTTGCTGCTGCTTCTTCTTTCTTTAAGATTTATTTATTTTTATTGCAAAGTGAGATATACAAAGATGAGAAGAGACAGAGAAGATGATCTTCCTTCTGCTGATTCACTCCCCATATGTCCGCAACAGCCAGAGCTGAGCTGAGCCGAAGCCAGGAGCCTGCAACTTCTTACAGGTCTCCCACATGCGTGCAGGGTTCCAAGGTTTTGAGTTGTCCTGCACTGCTTTCCCAGGCCACAGGCAGGGAGCTGGATGGGAAGTAGGACTGTTAGGATTAGAACTGATGCCCAAATGGGACTCTGGCGTGCATTAGGTGAGGACTTTAGCTGTTAGGCTACTGCACAGGGCCAACCTACCTTTGCCTCTAAAAGAAATTCCAAACAAAAGAAAAAAAAATATGAAAGTACAAGAAACTTACACGTTCTGCTCTGTCAAATGGATGAGAAACATCTGATTTTTACAAGGCAGGACTCTAAAAAGAAATAAAATCCTTTCCTATTTGTAGGCTAAAATTTCTCACACAAATAACAGAAAGCTTCATTTTATTAGGATGCGCTCCTCAGAGAAATAACTGAAAGAAGTGATCATCAACTTCAATGTTTACTTATTTTTTTTTTTCTTCATCAGCTTCCTGACGTGTGCAACACAGCAGCAAAAATCTTTTCAGCACCCAGGGCATGTTCTGGATGAACCCTGCCACGTCAGAGCCCACGCGGCCTAGCATTCCCATCTCCTGTGCTTCAAGTCCACTCCGTTGCACAAGGCCTGAGTTTGCAGCCTCCTTTTGGATATTTGCAAAGAGCTGGTTGATGGTTGTTTTGGCCATTTTTGCAGCAAGCTCTTAAGTCGGCTGCTTGCTGAGTTCCTCAGCCTTGCCAGTATCCTGCGCTGTCACTGTATGGTTGATCCTTTCTCAAGATCTTTTTGTTATTATTATTATTTTTTTAACAAGGGATTCAGATCTACTGTTAACACTAAGAGTTTCTTTCCAGTCTTCAATTTATCTTTTTCTAAAAATAGTTTTATTTATTTTTATTGCAAAGTCAAATATACAGAGAGAAGAGACAGAGAGGAAGATCTTCTGTTCACTGGTTCACTCCCCAACTGACTGCAATGCTGGAGCTGAGCCCATATGAACTCAGGAGCCAGGAGCTTCTTCCTGGGTCTCCCATGCAGGTGCAGGGTCCCAAGGCTTTGGGCCATCCTTGGGTCCAGTCTTTAATTTATCTTTTCTGAAACATTATTTTTTTCTCTTCCTCTGAATCTGGAGGTTAAGGCTCTCCGTTAAGAACGCCCAGCGTGGTAGTCTAGTGGCTAAAGTCCTTGCCTTGCAGTCACTGAGTTCCCTTTTGGCACCAGTTCTAATCCTGGCAGCCCTGCTTCCCTTCCAGCTCCCTGCCTGTGGCCTGGGCAGGCAGTGGATGATGGCCCAAAGTCCTAGAACCCTGCACCCATGTGGGAGACCCAGAAGAGGCTCCTGGGCTCCTGGTTTTCGATTGGATCAACTCTGGCTGTTGCAGGTGCTCGATGAGTGAATCAACAGACAAAAAGTCCTTCTCGGTCTCTCCTCTTCTCTGTGTATCTGCCGTTCCAATAAAAAAAAAAAAACTTAAAAAAAACTTTTTTTAAGATGGATAAACAAAGTAGAAGAGAGACAGAAAGGAAGATCCTTCATCTGATGGTTTACTCCCCAAGCAGCAGCAATGGCTGGAGCTGAGCCAATCTGAAGCCAGGAGCCAGGCGCTTCCTCAGGTCTCCCGTGTGGGTAATGATGGCTACCATGGTAACTGGAGAAGGGTGGAGTTTGCCTCCAACCAAACCCGGAATGGATAGAGGAATTCTGACAGGCCCCTCAGGCAGTGAGACCACCATTGCACTAATGAGGGGCACAGACCCATTTCCCCCCCACCAATAAGGGCTGAGGCAACCCCCGTTCTGGCTTCCATGTCAGGGAGAGTTAAAAAAGCCCCTTCCCCATCTCTTCAGGACTCCTCTTCCTCTGCTGCTCACTCCTTCACGTGTGTCCTTTCTGCTGCCTGGGAAGGGAAGCCCGTGACCACGGCTCCCTGAAATAAAGGCCAGCTCAATTCTTTTCATATATTTGCTGAGTTATTCTTTCCCTGGCGAGCTGCGAATCTAACATTTGGCCAGTGGCGAATCTACCATTTGGTGAGTGGCGAATCTAACAGGTGCAGGGTCCCAAGGCCTTGGGCCATCCCTGACTGCCCTCCCAGGCCACAAGCAGGGAGCTGGATGGGAAGCAGGGCCGCCGGGATTAGAACCAGTGACCATATGCAATCCTGGCACGTGCAAGGCGAAGACTTTAACCACTATGCTATCGCACTAGGCCCCCCCAAAAATAAATCTTTAAAAAAAATGGAGCTGCAGGAATTTGAACTGGTGTTCATATGAGATATTTGTAATGCAGCCAGCTTTACTTGCTATGCCACAATGCTGGCCCCTCAAGTTTTTTTTTTTAATTTTTATTTTTCTAAAGTTTTTTCTTTTCATTGGAAAGACAGATTTACAGAGAGAAGGAGACAGGACAAGTTTTCCATCTGTTGGTTCTCTCCCCAAGAGACCACAACAGCTGGACCTGAGCCAGGAGCCAGTTCTGGGCCTCTCATGCAGGTACACGGTCCTACAGCTTTCTGTCATCCTCCACTGCTTTCCCAGGCCACAAGCGAGGAGCTGGATAGGAAGCAGAGCGGCAGCACCCACATGGTATACTGGCGTGTGCAATGCCAGGACTTTTAGCCACTAGGCTATAGTGCCTGGCCCAAGTTCTTTATAATTGTGTACTTTCAAAAGAATTCTAGGAAAGGTGGGGTCTAACAGTAATGAAATGTTAATTCCACCTTCAGGGGGAAGCCCTCAGTGTCTCCTCCCCTTTCCTTCCTGCCTGCAGTTACTGAAGTTAATCAGAAGTTTTGTATTGCCTGATAAAACACTACTGTGCACCTTTTAAACTAACTGGAGGTTGAGAGCTTAAACCGCCCCCCCCCCCTTCTGCCACGCGGTGCAGTGGTTCCTGGAGCGTAGCGGGAGCTGCCTTTGCCAAGCTTGGGTAATAAAGATTTCTCCTAACATCTTAGAAGTCTAAGGCGAGTTCTCTCGCATTCAGTTACAAAACGGGATCTCGGAGCTTGTAACGGAAAGGTTTATGCTTGGAGTCATCCTGTCAGCTCCCTTAGCCTCCGCCCCCTGCCCCCTTTTAAACTTATTTCAAAAATGCTTCAGCCACCTCTTTGATGCTATGCCCGTACATAAAGTTTCCTGTGTGCGTTTTCACTTAAAAAAAAAATTCAGCCACAGTTACGTGTTTGTATCAAAGTTGTTTTTCATGGGAAAATGAGTACTTGGGGGGTTTCCTCCGTGTTTTAGAGCGGGCCCAGTTACTAGTCCACCGAACCTCGGTGAACCATGGGGTAAAATTCTAATCCCTGAAGAAAGTGAAAAATCCGCTAACCACCCTCGCGCCAGACACGGCCAGAACCTTCACCTCAAGATGGCGTCGCGTAGTCATAAGATTCAATCGGCTCCAATCAAAAATGGCAGGGTGTGTCGACATTTACAGCCGGAGCCCTTCTAGTCCCCACGTAGCGCTCCTTCTCTATGGTGCCGCCGTCCGGGCCGGTTGAGCCGGGGCCGACAGCGGGTACCCTCTAGCCACGCTCTTCTCTATGGTCCCGCGCACCACGCCCCCGGCTGCAGTGCACGCCGGGCAAGAGGAAGACCTCCAGAGGCTCCCCGCGCAGCGCGGCGCTGTTTGCGGCCTGTGCGAGGAGGCTTTTCGGAACCCGTCTCCCTCACGGGCGGCACCCCGATATTTCGAACCGGTGAAATCCACTCGTCCCTCGGAGCCCGAAAGACTGCGAAAACAGTCCCGATTTCTTAGCGGCAGGTGAGTTCACGCTTCTGGACGTGTAGAGAAACCGGGACCGAGCGCTGCCTCACTTGAGGGAGGAGGCAAAGCCGGGGTGGCTGCGAAAGGGCCGGGCTGGTGTAGGGGTGAGGCGGGGGAGGGGTGGCCGTGGGGGAGGGGACAGGCACGAGGCTTGGATTTCTGGAGTCTTCTGAGGCCTCGAAACCCACCGGGCCTAGTGGGCGCCCGTGCAGGCCGGCCCTGCCCGCCGAGTTTTCCTCCCCGGCATTGTGGCCCGCGTTTTACTGTTTCCGTCCACGTTCCGCCTCTGTCCCTGTCTGGCCTCCTCGCCAGGCCCGCAGCGATGGATGGGGCGCCGGGGAGCCCTTTCCCGACACCCCTTTCTTTGGGCAGCCCGTGCATCCCCCCGCCGCAGTTTTTCCGGGCCTAGTACCCCACAGGCTTACGCTTTCGGCGGGGTGCAGGCCGAGCACGGGGCTCTGGGTTGCCCTGGAGCCCGCCGCAGCGCGCACGGGGCTGCACCCCTCCCAGGATGTAGCTGAGCACCCCGTCTCGGCGCTTGCTGGGTGCAGGTGTGGGGAGCGTCTCCGTCCTGGCCCCCCTCCCGTCTTTTCCCTCTTTCTTAGGGTGGCCTCAACCGGATCTCCATTCATTCCAAGGGATTGCCAAGCTCCACGTTCACATGGGGGTGGGAGGAACTTTTTGTTTGTTTTTGCAGCGTTACTTTTTAAACGCATTTTCCGAGAAGATCATTCGGAAATGTCACTTTGGTTTTTGGCCGATTGGAACGGACCTGGCTTGTGCCCGAAGGCTTAACTAGTGCTGGGGCAGGACTGTTCTTAGGCAGTTGGCAGGGATAAACAACCATTCCATGGAGCTTTAATTCTTTAAGTTTTTTTTTTTTTTTTTAACTTAACCCGAACCTTTTGCACACGTTCACTTGGGCATCAGTTGGATGTGACTCGAGTAGGTAATAGGCCATTTTGTAATTTGATTACTTTTCTGTAGTCCTTGGTTTTCATCTGGGGAATGAGGCATAGCAGCAAACGCATCATAAGCTAAAATTGAGGTCTGATTGAGAGAAACCTGTAGAATCCTGAAGTGCCGGATCCAAATGTCTTAGCTTCTGGTCTGTGTTACCTGGTATCTGTTAGTTTTCACTTGAGAGCAGAAGCTTCACAGACTGTGTAGTAGTTCTTGCTGTGTGCTCTTGACACTTTTGTAAGTTACCTGTAAAGTGGCTTCTTCATTCAAGAGCCTCTTTCGCCCCTCACTGATGTCTTACTACTGTCAAGGCCCTGGGGTACAGTGAAAAGAGCTGTTGAATTGCTCATGTCAGGATACCCCACTTTCCTGTCTCCACACACTGGTTACGTTCTCTTGGGCAAACTAGCTTCTTCATCCGTGAAAAGAGAATGATAAATTTATACCAGGTAATGTAAGAGAGTAAATGAAATAATACATGATTAAACCCTTTTTGTTTACAAAAGGAAGTTAAAGTTTGATCTTTTTATCAAATAATTTATTGTGAGGTTATTAGACTTCTCTTTCTGTTTTAGATTTACTTATTTTTATTGGAAAGGCAGATTAGCTTTACAGAGAGAAGAAAGACAATGATCTTTCGTCCACTGCTTCACTTCCCAAATGGCCTCACAGGCCAGAGTTGAGATATCAAATCCAGGAGCCAGGAACTTCTAGGTCTCCCACGTGAGTCCAAGGCTTAGGGCTGTCATTGACTGCTCTCCCAGGCCGCAAGCAGGGAGCTGGTAGGGAAGCGGAGCTGCCGGTACGTGAGCTGATGCTCGTATGGGATTGAGGATTTAGCCATTGAGCCATCGCTCTGAACCCTCGATTTCCTCTTTTTTGCTGACAAAGAGGTTTTGAAGTTTGATTTTTGTTGTTTTGTACTTTTCTAGTGTATGGTACTGAAGAAAACATTTTTTATCTTTTATATAAGCACTATATATTAGCAATGGCACTAAGCATTATTTGCAGGTTTGAAGAGATATAGATAATATTTGTTAAGATATAGTTAATTTAAAGTTACAAAGAGAAAGGGAGAGACAGGAGAGAAACCTTCTGTCTCTTGGTTCACTTACAAGATGACCCAAAGGAATGGGGCTGTGCCACGCTGCAACTAGGAGCTCCATCTGGGACTTCCATGTGTGTGCCAGGTGCCCAAGTACTTGGGCCATTTTGGGCTGCCTTTTCCAGATCGTTAGCAGGGAGCTAGTATGGAAGTAGAGCAGCCAAGACTTGAACTGACATTGTTGGTGCCCTGGCATCATAAGATATCGCTTAACACACTATACTAAAATGTTGACCCCTGTAAGGGGGTGTGTGTGTGTGCATTTAAGAATTTTTTTTTTTGAAAAATTATGTATTATGTTGGGGAGTTAGATTTTACAGAGAGGAAATAGATAAGAAGATCCTTCATCTGCTGCTTCACTCCTCAAGTGGCCGCAATGGGACAGAGCTATCTGAAACCAGGAATCTTTCCTAAATCTCCCACGTGGGTGCAGGGTCCCAAGGCCTACTTGATGTGCATGATTGATGAAACGCTGACTCTTTGGATTTAGACTTTAAAGGAAAATGCACTTTGTCAGATGCGCTGTGCAAAGCCAGACTCCCTTCCAGGTGGTGGTAACACGCACCGTTACAGCCACATGCAAAGAGCAAGAGAGAGATCTACTGGTCCACTCCCCAATGAGGAACAAGAGGATTTACACAGACACAGAAGCATGGCAGAATGAAGAACTACAACTTCAAGCAAAGACAGAAGAATTGTCTAAATGGAAATTCTTACAGCCAAGGATTACCATATCCTGGGAATAAACATGTACCCTACAGGGACAGCTTTCCCAAAGGAGCAAGAAAACAACCTGGGTACTTTATCAAATCCCAGTTAGCATTCTAAGGCGAACACTGCTCCAATAGTTCCCTACTGATGGCCTGGGAAAGCAGACAGCCCAAAGCCTTGGGACAGTGCATACATATGAGCAACCTGGAGAAAGCTCCTGTTCCTGGCCTTGGATCGGCCCAACTCTGGCTATCACAGCCATCTAGGGAATGAAACAGTGATGAAAGACCTTTCTTTGTTACTCTTTCAAATAAAAACATTGATCTTTAAAAAAAAAAAAGAAATGTAGTTGGGTGTAATAAAGTTTTGAAATTCAAGTTTGTTCTTGTTATAATGTGCATTTTCCATGAACTTTTAGAAGGCTTCTTGTGTTTCCCAAGTGTTGTCTGTAATAGCTAACAAGTGGAGCCACCATTTAATGTTGTTTACTATGTTTCTGTGTTGTGATAAGTGCTGTGCTGCAGGCAACATAAAAATTTGATTTGTTGTGAAGCAGTATTCCAAGTAATAAAAAATGAATGGGTCAGTCTAGTATGATTACATTTGGTGGAGAAGCATACACAGTGTGTTCGTTTCTGTTCCTGAGATCCTTCGGGAAGCATACTGATGTACATCAAACTTGGGGGCTTAGGGGGTTGCAAGACTTGGGCTGTTCATCCTGTCTTCTGAAGTATTTTAAGATGAGTTACAAAAGAGTGGATAACAGACACAGACAATTTTGAAAAGCGTTTGCAAAAGTGGAAACATTTTTTAATGCTGAGCAGAAGTATCTCCAGATTATCAGTCACTATTTTAGGGCTATTGCTGGTGTGAGACCTACATGCTTCTGCTACCTTTTGAAAATTGCATGTGGAACTCAACTGGGACTTCCTAACATTGCTTTTGTTTTTCTACTGTTTTCAGTAGTTCTTGGTGATTGTACATATTGATAAAATATAAAAATTTGAGAGAGGAAAAGTAAATGTTTTTAATTAAATGACAGTATTTCCTGTGATCAAATGACAAACTAAACAGTTCAGTGTGTTTTGTTTTTCAAAATCAAATGCTAGGGCCTGGCGCAGTGGCTCAGGGGCTCAAAGTCCTTACCTTGTGTTCCCCGGGATCCCATATGGGCACCATCTTATGTCCTAGCTGCTCCACTTCCTATCCTGCTCCCTGCTTCTGGCCTGAGAAGGGGAGTAGAAGATGGGCCAAGGCCTTGGGTTCCTGTATCTGTGTGGGAGACCTGGAGGAGACTATTGGCTGCACATCAGCTCAGCTTTGGCTATTGTGGCTACTTGGGGAGTGAACCAGCGGGTGGAAGGTCTTGCTCTCTGTATGTCCTCTCTATAAATCTGCCTTTCCAAATAATAAATAAATAAACAAATGCTTAAAAAAAAAAAAAGAAAAAGAAATGAGAGCTGTTTAGGAGCTTCTTCTAGGTCTTCCACACAGGTGCAGGATCCCAAGGTTTTGGCCATCCTCGACTTTTCCCAGGCCACAAGCAGGGAGCTGGAAGAGAAATGGAGCAGCTGTGATATGAACCTGTGCCCATATGGGATCCCAGCACATGCCAGGCAAGGGCTTTAGCCACTTGGCTACTGTGCTGGGTTCTTGGTTCCTGATTTTGAGAAATAGTGGAGAGGTTTGCTTTTTTTTTTATTACAAAGTCAGCTATACAGAGAGGAGAGACAGGAAGATCTTCCATCTGGTGATTCCCTCCCCAAGTGACCGCAATAGTTGGTGCTGTGCCAGTCTGAAGCCAGGAACCAGGAACTTCTTCCGGGTCTTCCACACGGGTGCAGGGTCCCAAGGATTTTGGCTGTCCTCAACTGCTTTCTCAGGCCACAAGCAGGAAGCAGGATGGGAAGTGGAGCTGCTGGGGTTAGAACCGGTGCCCATATGGTATCCTGTTGTGTTCAAGGCCAGGAATTTAGCCACTAGGCCACGCTGCAAGGTCTGAGAGGTTTGCTTTTAAGAAAATATTTTTTATTGGAAAGACTAAGTCACAGAGAGGAGGAGAGATCCTCCATCTACTTGTTCACTTCCCAATAGCCGCAACAGCCAGAGCTAGGATGATCCTAAGCTAGGAGCTTCCTCCTGGTTTCCCACGCAGTTGCAGGGTCCTAAGGCATTGGACCATCCTGTACTGCTTTTCCAGGCTGTGAGCAGGTTGTTGGTTACAAGTGAAGCAGCCAGGAAATGAGCTTCCATATGTAGGATGCTGGCACTTGGAAGTGTAGGATTAACCAGTTGAACCATAGCACCACCGCAAATTATAACTTCTTAAAAAGATATTTATTATTTGAAAAGTCATTACAGAGAATAAGGGAAAGGGAGAGAGAGAGAGAGATGACATAAATTACAGATAGATGGATAGATAAATTGATTCTTTTGTTCCCCAAGTGGCCCACAGGCAGGGATAGGAGCCTGGAACTCCATCTGGGTCTCAGTTCTTCCACTGCTTTTCCAAGTTGCTGCAGGGAGGTGGCTCAGAGGCAGAAGAGGCAGGATTTGAACCTTCGCCCAGAAGTTGTGTCAGTGTAGCAGGCTGCCATGCCCAATCCCAGCTCCCAAAAACTTGTTATTATCACAAAATTCATCTCTTTGAGTGGTTACAATGATCTGATATCGAGGAGTTATGTTTGTCCCTTAGGTTTGTAGTTCTCTGACGCATTTGTCCTTGAGAAACTGGCCAACTTTGAATCAACAAATACCGTGTAACCTTTAAATTTAGTTTTCAGAGTGCTGATGAGTGTTTATAAAATAAACATCAGAGCACATAAGAAAAAGCTATTATCATACCCTTCTGGACTCTGGTTTGTAACTGAACCTCATTCTTTTTTTTCTCCTTGTATGTGTAGTCCAACATGAGTTGTATGAGTTTGTCCTTGTCTAAGATTATGTGCATCATGGGAGCTTGGTTTAGAAGAAAGATAAAAAGTTTTAAAAATTCTCAATCGACACATAAAAAGAGGTTCTTTGCCAACTCCTTTGGGTAAGAAAATTTAGCATTTTGCAAATAACAAAAAGTGAAGGCCAACAAACCAGACATACAAAATTTTAAGATTTTCAAATAAAAGGGTTGTCATGATTTCTTTTTCAGACTGCTGCAGTGAGAATGTCTTTCCCCCCTCACTTGAATCGCCCTCCCATGGGGATCCCAGCCCTCCCACCGGGGATCCCACCCCCACAGTTTCCTGGCTTTCCTCCACCTGTACCTCCAGGTAAGCTTGTGGTCCCGTACTTTTTTTTTTTTTTTTAAGGAAACCTCTGGTTTTGATATTGTGGTTTTAACTTTTCAATAATAATATATGTATTATTTGACTGTGATAAAATGAATATATTGCTATTAGAATTATCTGTTAGCATCTGGAAACATCGATGTCTCGTTTTCTGTGGTAGAAGTCTTTGTAATTTGATTCTGGAAAGTTCAAAGTTCTTTTTTTTTTTTGCATTTAAGAAATACATTTATATCACTTATAAATTAGAAAGTGTGTGCATACCCACATAGCTATTGTTACTGTCTTTTTAAATGATAAAGGTGGATAATTCAGGGTAATTAATCCTTTCTCATTCCTTTTTTTAATAGGTATAAAATGTTAGCCAGTATCAATGTGTATTCTATTTTTTTTGCAAAGGAGATATATGGTGGAGTCATGATGCAGAATTCTGTCACTTTGATTTATATTTTTACTTCACAGCACCTATGTGTGTCTGAGAGTTTTCTAAATAAGTGTATAAAAGCTTCATTTTTCCACAGTTCTGTGAAGTTTTTAAAAAAAATTTGAAGTTGTATATTGAATTTAGCATTTAAGAAGCCTGTATCCCACACGGGAATAGCAGCCAGGTTGGTAACTCAAGAAAAACCTTAACCAAATTAACCAAAAGCACCAGCTTCTTTGAATAAATATTAGGTCCTAGCATAATTAATCTTGTATAATTCAGATCTTGATCTTTATTTTTTATTTATTGATTTTTAAAAAATATTTCTTTGTTTTTATTGGAAAATCAGATATACAGAGAGGAGGAAAGACAGAGAGGCCATGGGATCACTGTTAATTCCTGGCGTTCTTGCACGAAGTGTAAGGAACTCACAGTTGAGAACCCTCTATCCTACAGTAGTACTGATAGTCCTTGGCTTAAGGGAAAGAGTTTTTCTCAGGCATGTGAGTGTCTGTGTTTTAGTGGGTTAAAAGCAGTTCATAAAATTTCCTCTTCTGCCGTCCTAAAGATAGTAATTTCTCTTGAGAGCTCCTAGAATTTGCTTGTAGGAGGATTTTGACATAGCATTTATGTAACTCAATCTGAAATGAACAAAGATTTTGGTAATCGTTGAGGTTTTATTTGAAGGAGGCTATACATCAAGGATAGAACATGTTTTTAAAATCAGATTTTCTGTTGAAATTACAGTAATTTAAAAAAAATTTATTGTTTTAAAGATTTATTTATTTTTATTGCAAAGTTAGATATACAGAGGGGAGAAGAGAGAGGAAGATCTTCTGTCCGTAGTTTCACTCCCCAAGCGGCTACAACAGCTGGTGTTGAGCTGATTTTAAGCCAGGAGCCTGGAGTCTAACTGGTCTCCCACATGAGTGCAGGGTCCCAAGGCTTTGGGCCATCCTCAAGTACTTTCCCAGGCTACAAGCAGGGAGCTGCATGGGAAGCGGGGCTGGTTGGATTAGAACTGGCTCCCTTATGGGATCCTGTTTCATTCAAGGCAAGGACTTTAACCACTATGCTATCACGCCAGGCCCTAGGTTTAACTTTTGAGACTCCTCAGCCCCTACCTCTGAAAAGCCACAGGATAAATATGTTAATTTTAGTAGAATGCTGATCTGAAGCCAGGAGCCAGGAGCTTTTTCCAGGTCTCCCACGTGTGTGCAGCGTCCCCAGGCTTTGGGCCATTGTCTACTGCCTTCCCAGGCTACAGGTGTGGAGCTATATGGAACTGGAGCAGCCTGGATGTGAACTGGCACCCATTGGAATTCTGGTGGTTGCAAGGCTAGCATTTAGCCACTAGGCCATCCCACTGGGCTTCCTAAATGGGATTTTTTTTTTTTTTACTTTTTCCACAAATAGTTAATAAGAAATGAAAACATTCACTCTAACCTGATACACAGTGATATTGTTGAACTCTCCAATAACCCAAAGAAATAAATGTTCATCCCAAATTCTCCCATCATTGGAGAACTAGACCTGTTGTAGATATTTCTACATGTCACAGGGTCGATAATGCATTCAGAACAGAAAACATTGTGTCACTAAATTGGAATTTTTAAGATTAAAAAAAAATGTCCGCGCCCGATGCAGTAATCTAGGGCTAAAATTGCACGCCTGGGATCCCATATGGGCACTGTTTCTAATACCAGTGAAAAACGCTTCCATCCAGCTCCGTGCTTGTGGCTTGGGAAAGCAATTGAGGACAGACCAAAGACTTGGAACCCTGCACTCATGTGGGAGACCTGGAAACTGACTCTTGGCTCCTGGCTTCAGATTGGCTCATCTCTGAATTTTGTGCCCATTTGGGAAGTGAATTAGTGGATGGAAGATCTTTCTGTGTCTCTCTTCCTCTTTGTATATCTGACTTTCTAATGAAAGTAAAATGTCTTTAAAAAATACTTGAAAAGCAGAATTAAGAGTGAGTAAGAAAGAAATAGAAAATGTTATTCCTATGTTCCCTCCCCAAGTAGTCACAATGACTGGTTGGACCAGGTTGACGCAAGCAGCCCCGCACTCCTCCTGGTCTCCCGCGCGGGTCCTGGGCTGGAGGCAGGGCAACTTGGACTTAGCACTTACAAGTGGCTGTAGATAGCCATCTTCTCTTGGTTTCAGTGAGTGCTTTGGTGTGATGTGTTATTTCAAATTTCCAGATTAATTTTATAAAAAAATTTCTCCTTTAAATAAAAGAATTTATTTATTTGAAAAAGTGTCAGAGAATGAGAGAACGCATGTGCTTCTGCCTGCTGATCTACCCTGCAGCGAGCTGCTGTGGCGGCTGGAAAGGCAGCTTGGTGCAGGTGAGATAGTGGTACTAGAGGCCTCAGCTGTGACTGTGTGCTCAGCACTGGCACTGTCGCCTTTATTTCCATTTCGGTTGGCTGTGCGTGGCTATATGTGCTTTCACATTATATCACTCATATTGTCTGTAGTCGTATTGGTAGTGTTGATAAGACTTAAGGTGTTTTTCCTTTTGTAGGAACCCCCATGATTCCTGTGCCAATGAGCATTATGGCTCCTGCTCCAACTGTAAGTACAGCACGTGAAGTCATCAGGAATTGTGATAGTTGTGTGCATTTAAAGCTAAAAAGTAAAAAACCAAAAAGCCTTGATTATATGTTCAAAAGTAATGAAAGAGGTATGTAAATATTGCATTGCTTTCTTGAATAAGTGCTTTTCCCCCCTCAGCATTCGTATTTACAATTATCCCTAAAGTTCGCTCCATGCTATTCATACATGAATAGCATGTATGATACGAGTGTAGTCTTTTTTATCGTTTCTTTAGTTATATTGCAAGTATCTTTTTTTTTTTTTTTTAAGATTTACTTATTTTTATTGTAAAGTCAGAAGTACAAAGAGGAGAGACAGAGAGGAAGCCATCCATTGATTCACTCCTCAAGCAGCCTCACTGGCTGGAGTTGAGCTAATGTGAACTCAAGAGCCTGGAGCCTCTTTGAATCTTCCACATGTGCAGGGCCCCAAGGCCTTGGGCTGTCCTCTTCTACATTCCCAGGCCACAAGCCGGGAGCTGGAAGGGAAGCGGGACCGTTGGGATTAGAACTGGTGCCCATATGGGATCCTTGCACATGCAAGGCTGCTAGGCTGCTTTGATGAGCCCATCTGTTTTTTTTTTTGTTTGCTTAATTAAAAATTTTTATTTTTCAAATGCAATTTGAATATTGAATTTTCAGTTTTCTTCAATATCTTACTGTTGTTTCCTCACACCTCCAATTTATTTACTATTTTGTCTTTCTCTATAATGTGGTGTGGTATCTTCAAGCTAGTAATTGCCTATCCTGAAGTGCTCTCTCTAATCAGTGTAATTGTCCAAACTTGTTAATGTTTCATAAATGGTGATGTACTGTTGTGCAGAATAAATAGTAATAATTTTATTAGCTTTTATTTGGTCATCTTTTTTGGGTGGTGTGGTTCATTTAGGTAATAGATTGTTTTCATGCGGGAGATTTCCTTATATATTTTTTTTTCAAAGATTTTTTTTAATTGGAAAGGCACATTTCTAGAGGTGAGACAGACATCTTCCATCTGTTGGTTCACTCCCTAAATGGCTGTAGTGCTGGAGCTGAGCCAACCCTAAGCTGGGAGCCAGGATCTTCCAGTTCTCCCACATGTGTACAGGGTCCCAAGGCTTTCTATCATCCTCTCCTACTTTTCCAGGCCACAGGGAGGAGGGCAGGTCGGAAATAGCCAAGATCACATTAGATGCTGGCAGCAGCAGGTGGATGATTTGTTGAGTGAGCCATCTGTTTCTTCTGGATTTTACCAAGAGAGGGTAGTTTTATTTATATTAAAAGGGAAGGAGGAGTACTCACTTCGGCAGTACGTGTACTAAAATTGAAATAATACAGAGGAAATTAATATGACCCCTGTGCAAGGATGACATGCAAATTTGCAAAGTGTTCCATTTGTAAATTAGAAAAAGGCAAAAGGAATGAGAAAACCCTTTTGCAGATAGGATCCTGCCCTGTGGCAGACCGCTGATAAGCTCTGACTGTGGTCCCCAGGGATTTCCAGCTTTTCTTACATTGGACCCTTATGGTTTTGCTGCTTTGGAAAACCTCCAGCTGACAGGAACTCTTAGAACTCTTGGTTTCTCGCTTTGCATATTATGAAAGTAAAATTGAAGGTTTGGCTAAGCTTCCTAAGTTCATAGTTTGTTCAGTACTAAGAGTGTTTTGCTGTGTCAAGTACAAAGATCTGATTCTTTGAGGTTTCATGTTATAAAGGAAAAATCAACTAGGAATATAAGTAATGAATTTTCAAAAATACAAAAAGCAAAATACAAATATGTTACAAATACTGTAGGATAGGTGAATATTCTGCATGATTAATAAGGGTGATTATAATTTGCTTTCAAGCTGATACTGAGAACACTATTAAGGTAAAATATGCTACTATTTTTATTTGCTTTCCCAACTTTACGAAAAACATTTTTAAACAATAGTGAAAGTTGTGTTGTTAAAAATAAGTTTGTGTGAGTGAAATGAGCTGTGTTTCAGGAGCACAAAGTTTAGGCTTTAGTAGTAATGTGTTTTATATATATGTGGCCTACTTTAAAAGCATTTTTAAAAGTTAATATTACAGTAAGCCTTGCAGGAATCATCATATCATATTTTGCTGTCTGCCTTCACAGGTCTTGGTGCCCACCGTGTCCATGGTTGGGAAGCATTTGGGCGCCAGAAAGGATCACCCCGGCTTAAAGGCTAAAGAGAATGATGAGAACTGCGGCCCTACCACCACCGTCTTTGTGGGCAACATTTCTGAGAAAGCCTCAGACATGCTCATAAGACAGCTCTTAGCTGTAAGTTCAGCTATCGTTTGCTTTAAATGTTGTGAAACTTTTCAAAAAACTTAAACTTTTTTTTAAATTTTAGTTTTAAAAGTTGCTGTTTGTTACATGTTTAAAACTTCGAGACAAAGCATTTTGAATGGGTATTTCTTCCTACAATTTTAATGTTTGTAGAAAATTTCTTCTAAGATTTTCATTAGTTGTGTTTTTTAAAATTTTTATTAGAAAGAGAAGGAAAGATGAGGACAAATCTTCGATGTGCTGATTCCCTCCCCAGATGGGGATCCCTGTACCGCAGGCTGTTGCTGGACTTGTTGCACTGTAATAGAGGCGTAAACTCCTTTTGTAGAAAGATGGATTAATTTATGTGAAAGACAGTGATGGATGAAGAAGGTTTTTTACTTTCTGGTTAATTCCCCAAATGGGCACAACTGCTGGGGCTTGGCTATATAGAAGACATGAACCAGGAATTCCCATCTGATTCCTTCGCCTGAATGGCTAAAATTCAACTTCCTGGCCGTTTTGTGTGATCACAGGCGGATGAGAAGGAGTCTAGAAAGTGGAAATAGGACTTAGCTGCAGGCAGACACGGGACGAAGGAGTTCAGGTAGTGGCGTGGTGCTCTTTGCCACAGAGCTCACCTCTGATCTAACTTGTTTTTATTCCTGTCTTTTTCCTGCTATTTTTATACTGGTTTTTGAAGATTGTCCTCAGTTTTTGCCTCTACAATGGAAAAATTTAATATACAGGTTCTTCTAGAAGTTTATGGAAAATATGTGTTAGTGCAAAACTAGGCATAGATTTCAGAAATTTTTTTTGCAAAATAGTATTGAAGTCTCATTTTTCCTTATTTTTAAAATATTTATTTTATTTTTATTGGAAAGTCAGGTATACAGAAAGGAGGAGAGAGAGAGAGAGGAAGGTCTTCCCCAAGTGGTTGCAACAGCTGGAGTTGAGCCATCTGAAGTCAGGAGCCCGGAGTCAGTTTTGAATCTTTCAACGCGTGCAGGGTCCCTAAGCTTTGGCCGTCTCCACTGCTTTCCAAGGCCACAAGCAGAGAGCTGGATGGGAACTGGATGGGATTAGAACTGGCACCTATATGGTATCCCGGGCATGTAAAGAGAGAAATTTAGACACTAGGCTACTTCACCGGGCACTCTATTTTTTTGAAGATTTAGTTATTGTTATTGCAATGTTAAATATGCAGAGAGGAGGAGAGACACAGGAAGATTTTCCATCTGCTGATTCACTCCCCAATGGAGTGAAGTGACCACAGTGGCCAGAAGCAAGCCAAATTGAAGCCGGGAGCCAGGAGCTTCTTCCAGTCTTGTACTTGGGTTCAGGGTCCCAAAATTTTTGGTTCTCTTTGTTTTCTTGGGCCACAAACGGGGAGCTCAGTGGGAACCTGGGCCGCCGGGAGCTGAACTGGCTCCCTTGTGGGTTCCCGAAGCATGCAAGGTGAGGAATTTAGGTCTAGGATATTGTGCCAGGCCCTCCGTGTATTTTAAGTGTGACCAGCATATATTGAATTTGTGATTTTTTTTTTCCTCTGACGCTTTCCTAATTAGCCTTTTTATGTCTTCAGGCAGTACCCGATATCTTTTCTACGTGTGGGACTAGGGGTGTGTGTGTGTGCTTTAAGAGGGTTCATTTTCATTGGATAGGCAGGTTTCCAGAGAATTGGAGACAAAGAGATCTTCCATCAGCTGGTTCACTCCCCAAGTTGCCGCAGCGGCCATAGTTGAGCCAAACTAAAGCCAGGAACCAGGGTATTCCATGTAGGTTCAGGGTCCCAAGGTATTGGGCCGTCCTCTGCTGCTTTCCCAGGGCACAAGTAGGGAGCTGGAGGAGAAGTGGAATAGCCGGAACACATACCAGGATCCTGGAGCTTGCAAAGTGAGGATTTAACCATTGAGCCCTCCATCCGGGGCCAGAGTAAATATCTTGTGATTTTCCCTGTGGATGGGTTTGTGAGCAGTGTGATGGTTGTAGAGTCCCCCCAAAATTCTCCTAGGGTGACCTCATACTCTGTGCTCCAGGTAGAGCAGGGGCAGATTTGGTCCATCACCTGTACCAGCTAAGGTTCATACTGGTGCATACAGCGGATTCTGTGTTTCAGAGATCTAATTCTCATGTCATGTCATAAGATTGACCTTATTTATTTAAAATATAGAGATCTCTGATCTGCTGCACTCCCTAGATGTTATAGCAGCTGAGCCTTGCCTAGGCGAAAGGCTTGAGCATGGGGCTCAGTACCAGTCTGCCATGTGGGTGGCGGGGAGCCAGCTCTTGGAGCCATCACTTGCTGCTTCCCCCAATGAACATTAGTATTTATAAAGAATGTAACAGGTACAATAGATATTCTTAGTATATTCAGAACGCAGAATATGGTACAAGCAGCAAAATGTTGATATTCTTGCACTTGCCACCACTGGGATCACATATGGGCGCTGGTTCATACAAGGTCCAACGTCCACTGCTTTCCCAGGCCATATGCTATGCACGGAGCTGGAATTGGAATTGGTGCCCATTTGCTATCCCAGCGTGTGCAAAGCTAGGATTTAGCCACTAGGCTATTGCACTGGTCTGTTTTATTTCTTTCATGTACAGTCAGTTGCGAGAATTGGAAGAAGTTTCTAGATTTGTTTTTATTTAAAGGTAGATTTACAGAGAGAAAGAGAGAGACAGAAAAATCTCAGTCTGCTGGTTCACTTCCCAAATTGTCCTGAACCACCAAATGGATCCAGGTGAAACCAAGAGCCAAGAGCCTCTTCTGCGTCTCCCAAGCAGCTGCAGCGTCCCAAGGCTTTGGGCCATCCTTGTCTGCTTTCCCAGGCCATAAGTAGGGAGCTGGATGGGAAGTGGAGACTCTTAGACTTGACCTGGTGTGCATATGGGGTCCTGCTCCTTGAAGGGTGGTTAGGGTTGTATTAACCAGTTGAGCCCCCGTGGCGGCGGCCCAGTGTATTTGGATGTTGTTGAAGTGCATTTTTGAGGGACGGGGGTTTTTGTTTTATCATAATCTCCTGTCTTTGGAATGTTTTTGTGCCCTCACTTGTATTAAAATTATTTTATTAACTGGTAATGGATTTTTTTTTCTGTGTTTTTTTTTGTGTGTGTGTGTTTAAGAAATGTGGTTTGGTTTTGAGCTGGAAGAGAGTTCAGGGTGCATCTGGAAAACTACAAGGTAGGCCATATTTTATTTATTTGTTGACTGCTTTATCCTATTTGTACAAATTAGTTTGAAAGTGTTATTATTGATAATAATGACTGTTATTTTAACAATTCCTTTCCCGTAAGTAACAGGAAGAAAATGCTGGAAGAAGCTGTTAGTTGAAATTTGAGATTATAAATGTAGAATAGTGAAATAGAAGCATGTAGTAGATACTAAAATGTTTCAGAGCGGCTTATTTCTTACACTGGGAAGCGTCTTTGGCAGGATCATATGGTCAAGGTGGGACAGTTGCAAGTTATGAAGAGACTTGGAGGAAAATAAGTTATCAGATGACTCAGTTACTCTTGAAAGCAAACTATTTTTCCTGCTTGTTGAAAGAAGCACCTGGTTGATGGCTATATATTTTATTTTAATATTTATTTTGGCTTGTAGCATCAGACTTTCAGAGAGAGGTAGAGATAATGACAGGTATGGATGTGTGAGGTATAATTGGTTCCTTTTCTTCTATGCCAGAACAGTGACCCCTTTCATCTGTAGGCTCACACAGGTCCCGCAGCAGTGAGGGAGGAGGGTTAGGCCCGCATCTTCTATCTGTCAGGGGCATTATCAGGGGATTGGATCAGGAGAGACCCTGGAGGAGTTGATTGCTTGCCCTCTCATGCAGGATATCAGTATCTCAGGCAATCACTTCATCTATTTTTACTTACTTGAAAGGCAGAGAGACAGAATGAAATTCTAAAATCTGATTCACTCCCACCCATCTGAGACTTTGCCAAATCGAAGACAGGAGCCCAAAGCTCAGTTTGGAACTCCTATGTAGCTGACAGAGCCATTGCTTGAGCCATCTGCTTCCTGCCAGGGTAGGCATTATCAGGAATCTGCTGTCAGGATTGGAGTCGGATCTCTGTGGCCAGTGTTGTGCTTCAGTGGCTCCAGCTTTTTAGAGTCTGGGCTGCACTCCACTTCTGATCCAGCTCCCTCCCAAAACACCTGGAAAGCAGCAGAAAATGGCTCAAGTACTTGAGTCCCTGCTACCAGCCTGGGTGACATAGATGTAGCTTGTAGCTCCTACCTTCATCCTGGCTATGCCCTTAATGTTTAAGTCCTTTGGAGAGTGAACCAGTATATGGATGACATGTCTCTCCTTCTATAACTCTGCCTTTTAAATCAATCTTTGGAAGAAAAAAAAAATCATGAAAGTGGAGCACTGGCTCAAACTGGGCATTTTATGGTCACTGGGCATCTGCAAGGGCATGTTGAAACTGCCGTACCCCTGGCACCTCTGCTAAATATTTATCAGAGTATCTTATAAATAGCAGCTCACTTGTACTTGTAATTTTTCTTCTTTTGCTTTGGCTCCACCCCCTGATTGTTGAACAGTGCTAAAAATGAAAGATATACTTGTCATAGGGAGTTGAAGGAGAACAGTGAAGTCACTGTTTAAGTGGTCTTGATATTTTAACATTTAGTCTGTTGATTTTTTTCCTTTAATTTGTTGAATTTTTCACAATTTTTGTTGATATTTACATTAACGATTTATATCTTTCTCTAGCTTTTGGATTCTGTGAGTATAAGGAGCCTGAATCTACACTTCGTGCACTCAGATTGTTGCATGACCTGCAGATTGGAGAGAAGAAGCTGCTTGTTAAAGTTGATGCAAAGACGAAGGCACAGTTAGATGAATGGAAAGCAAAGAAGAAATCTTCCAATGGGGTATGTTTTGTGCAGTGCTATCTTTTCTAGATCAGCTGTGCTGTTGGAAGAGAAAGAATTCTCACTGTAATTGAATAAGGGGCTTTCCAAGTTCATCACTATCATATGTACTTATGGTTCTAATGCAGGAGAGTGCGTTATAGTTTGTAGTTATTGTGAATCTTTTATCTACCCACAGTGGGTGGATGACTGTTGGTTTGCTTGTTCCAGGTTGGGATGAAGGTAGTAAGGGAGGCTGGACAAGGTTAATTGCCAGAGAAAACACTGGTACAGACTATTCCAAAAAGAACTAATACATTAAGACAGCTTTGTAAGTAAGTACAAAACGTATTTCAACATACATAGTTTGTATTGGTTGCCATCTGTTAGAGGTGCAGAGATTCTAAAATAATTGAAAGTATTATTTTCCTCAACTGGATTGCTTTATGAAGACTATCCTAAGCGATGTCATATTTTTGCATGTTAGATTATAATATATGCATTATTGTCCCATGTCAAAGAAACAGAATATAGCTAAAACCAGAGTATGAATTTCCTTTTTGGTAACTCAGACTACACTTATAAGATAGATTTATTATTGGTTTCCTGTAGCAACAGAAACAACCAAAATAACCTTTTCCTCTCAACAATGATTTGTTATCTTTCAAAATAGAAATGACTTCTGATCTCTGCTTCTTTATGAATTATAAAAATAAAATAATCTGTGACTCAGCTAAGCAAAATCTCTAAAAAAGAAATACTATCTGCAATCCCATAATCATGAATAGCTACTCCATAGACAATTGTTTGCCTGTATTTGTGGCCATTTTGCCCTGGATAAATAATAGTCTTAGGTCAAAGGGGTTCTAATGGTAATGTGGATGTTTTTTTTTTCATGGAAGTAGAATTCAGTTATTTCTTCCATTGAGTCACATCTTTTCTTGGAGTAGTGAAGTCCCTGTTTTTATTTTTCTTCTGCCTCTGCATGTAGAGCATAAGGATCACTTCCTTAAACTATTAGTATTATAAACCCATTCTTAATGACCGTGCATTTCATACAGAGTAAAGTACAAATTTTTAGCATTACGTTCATGGATCACTCCAATCCAACTTTCTCGATTTTCCAACTCTTCTATCTTCCCTGGATCCATTCAGATGTTTTACTGGCCTCTCAATCCTTTATTACGCATCCAAGATCCTGCTAAAATTCTTTCTATGGAGTTAACAGTTAATAATCCTACTGGTTTCATACAACACTCATAAACCCTTCCTTCAGATCTTCTTCGAAGACAAACTGTCTTCCTGTATGAGGTATATTTCCTGCTGTATGTTATATATGTACTGCTTTGTAGTATTGCCACGATGTTTTAAACATTTGATGTAAATGGAACTGCAGGATAAGTTCTTTGTGCTACAAATGACTTACGAAAACTTTGCAATTTGATGATTATTTTCTAGGAACTCTTTAAGGAGTCTCAGCTGCTGTGTTCAGTTTCTTTCTTTCTTTTTTTAAGATTTATTTATTTTTATTGGAAAATTAGATTTATTGAGCGGAGAGACAGGAAAAAAATCTTCCATCAACTGGTTTGCTCCTCAGGTGGCTGCAATGGCCAGAACTAAGCTGATCTGAAGCCAGTAGCCAGGAGCATGTTCCAGGTCTCCCACACCACAGTGCAGGTTCCCAATGTTTTGGGCCATCTTCGATTGCATTTCCTGGCAAGGGAAGGGAGCTGGATGGAAGCAGGGCCGCTGGGATATGAACCAGTGCATGTAAGGCGAGGACTTTAGCCATTGGGCTACTGCACTGTGTCCTTGGTTTGATTGTGATCTCTCAGAGTTTGCTTTCTGCTATCACTGGCCTTGGGAAGCAGTAGCTCAGGTGCTTGAGTCCTGAGTCTAGCAAAGTCTGCCACCCCTGTGCAATCCTAGAGTAGAGTTCCTCCTCACTCATTGATTCGGCCTGGCCTGCCATGACATGTGGGCATTAAAATCAATGTGTGGATGATCTGCCTTTCTCTAATTACATTTCTCTTTATTGCTTGGTCTCTAATAAACTTTCAAAGCTCATGGAAAATGGAATTGAAAGGTAAGTTAAGTTAAAACATGAAAATATAGGACCCAGAATAATGACGCAGAAGCTAAATCCTTAACTTGCAATGACTGGTATTCCATGTGGCCGCCAATCCGTGTCCCAGATGCTCCATTTGGCATCCTGCTGCTGTCTGTAGCCTGGAAAAGCAGTGGAAGATCGACCAGAGCCTTTGGGACCTTTCCTCTGGAGTCCGAGAAGAAGCTCCTGTTTCCTGGCTTTGGATCAGTTACACTCCAGCCATTATGGTCATTTGCGGAGTGACTCAGAATGGAGGATCTTTCCCTCTGTTTCTCTTTCTCCTTCTTTGTGTAAATTAAAGATAAATGAAGGCACGGACCCAGCGCAGTGACCTAGTGGCTAAAGTCCTCGCCTTGAACGTGCCAGCATCCCACATGGATGCCGGTTCTAATCCCAGCAGCTCCACTTCACATCCAGCTCTCCCTGCTTGTGGTCTGGGAAAGTAGTCGAAGATGGCCCAAAGCCTTGGGACCATGGATCCACATGGGACACCTGGAATTCCTGGATCCTGACCATTGTGGTCACTTGGGGAGTGACTCATTGGACTGAAGATCTTCCTCTCTGTCTCCCCTCTTGACTGTATATCTGCCTTTCTGTTACAAATAAAGTTAATCTTAAAAAAAAAAGATAAATACAAAAACCAAATGAAACTGTCTGACATTTTTCAGATATTGCTTTTTGTATTAACTGATACCTTGTCATTTTCTCTTTCTTCTAAAAGTTCATTAAACAAAAGCAAGAAGTCAGTGTAACAATTTTTTTTTTTTAATTTGTTTACCGGGACCAGCATAGTAACCTGAGTCCTTGCCTTGCATATACTAGGATGACATATGGGTGCCAGTTCATGTCCTGGCTGCTGCATTTCCCTTCTGGCTTCCTGCTTGTGGCCTGGGAAAGCAGTGGATGATAGCCCAAGGCCTTGAGACCCTGCAACAGTGTGGGAGACCCAAAAGAAGCTTCCTGGCTCCTGGCTTTGCATCAGCTCAGCTCTGGCTGCTTCAACCACTTGGGAAGTGAATCAGCTGATGGAAGACTTTTCTCTCTGTCACTTCTCTCTGTAAATCTGACTTTCCAATAAAAATAAAAACATCTTAAAATATTTTTTGTTTAAAAATTTTTTAAGATTTATTTATTTATTTATTTATTTTTTAAAGATTTATTTTTATTATTTTTTTTATTGGAAAGGCGGATATACAGAGAGGAGAGACAGAGAGGAAGATCTTCCGTCCAATGATTCACTCCCCAAGTGAGCGCAACGGGCCGATACTATGCCGATCCGAAGCCAGGAGCCTCTTCCGGGTCTCCCACGCGGGTGCAGGTTCCCAAAGCTTTGGGCCGTCCTCGACTGCTTTCCCGGGCCACAGGCAGGGAGCTGGAAGGGACGCGGGGCTGCCAGGATTAGAACCGGCGCCCATATGGGATCCCGGGCGTGCAAGGCGAGGACCTTTAACCACTTGCGCCACTGCGCCGGGCCCTTAAGATTTATTTTTATTAGAAAGGAGGATATAAAGAGAGGAGAAGAGAGAAAGATCTTCCCTCTGATGGTTCACTCCCCAAGTTACTACAACGGCTGAAGCTGAGCCATTCTGAAGCCAGAGCTTCTTCTGGGTCTCCCATGCGGGTACAGGGTCCCAAGGCTTTGGGCCATCCTTGACTGCTTTCCCAGGCCACAAGCAGGGAGCTGGATGGGAAGTGGAGCTGCCGGGATTAGAACCAGAGACCATATGGGATCCTGTTGCTTTCAAGGCGAGGACTTTAGCCGCTATGTTATTGCGCTGGGCCCTGTTTAAATTTTTTTACTTTTCTTGGAGAGGCAAATCAGATTTACAGAGAGGAAAAACAGAAAGGTATTTTGCTGATTCATTCTTCCAGTGGCTACAGAGGCAGAATTGAGCCTATCAGGAGCCAGGATCTTCTTTCAGGTTCCCTACATGCATGCAGGGTCCCAAGGCTTTTGACCATCCTCTACTGCCTTCACAGGTACAAGCAGGGAGCTGGAAGGAAAGCGGAGCAGCCGGGACAAGAGCTACTGCTTGGTTTCCTAGTGGGTGTAAGAGGAAGATTTAGCCAATTGGGGCATCAAGGCAGGCCTTTAGTGTTCCTTTTAGTTTGTTTGCTTACTTATTTATTTATAGCAAAATCATTGTCTTTTAATTGTCATTACAGAGGTGAGGGATAGTAATTGCAGACCCCTATTGGCCTCTGATAGAGATAGAGAGGGGAGGAGCAGTGGAAGTAGGTGGTGTGTGGAGAGGGATACGCTATTCCTTTTCTGCCATCTTGAGTTTGTCTATCATGCCACCTTATGGTTGAATCTCCTCATGTCATTGTATAAGGTGCCATATTCCATCTGTCTTCACAGGGGCTTTCCTTGTTTTGCTGTATAAGTTCTACGGCCTGTTGGTTGTGCATATCTGCCTCAGTGTTTGCAGGTTCTTCAGTAGAACATGGCCTGAAGTGCTGTGCCATGCTCCCTTCTCTTTCCACCCATTGAGGAGGTATTTGCGTTCTATTGCATTAGAGCAACTTGTTGTCTTGCCTTTAATACGCACCTGGATATGTTGTTCATTCCTTCTCTCGAGTCAGCAATGGGGGTAGCATGATTCTATAGCATATGCTTTATGGTCAGGCCATGCATTCGTGGGACATTTCCTGGTGGTGTGCACCTGTTTGTTTGTTGTAAGATTTATTTTATTTATTTCATTTGAGGTGTTGTTAGAGCAAGCAAGAGAAATTGTCTATGTGCTGTTTCATTCTTCAAATGGTTACAATAGCCAGATGCAGCCAGGAGAACCCAAAGCTTCCTTCAGGTTTTCCATGTGGATCCAAGCATTTGGGGTCATCTTGTACTGCTTGCCTAGGCCTGTTAGTAGGGAGTTGAATCAGATGTGAAGCACCTGGGTCTCAAACCCCCAGTAGGTAATTTTAGTACATTTAATTACAGCCTTACCTATACCCACTGTTGATATTTGGCTACCAGAAAATTAGACAAGGTGATAACTTTTAAAAAGAATGCTTGTCTTTTTTCTTATTTTTGAATTTTGTTCTCTTTAGCACACAGTTTATTTATTTGTGTTAAAGATTGATTTATTTTATATTGGAAAGTCAAACTTACAGAAAAGGAGAGACAGAAAGATCTTCTGTCCTCTGGTTTACTCCACAAGTGGTCGCAACAGCCAGTGCTGAGACAATCCGAAGCCTGGAGCCAGGAGCTTCCTCCCCCTGGTCTTTCATGCAGGTGCAGTGTCCCAATTCTTTGGCGCATCCTCGACTTCTTTCCCAGGACACGAGCAGGGAGCTGAAAGGCAAGTGGAGCAGCTGGGATACAAACTGGTGCCCATATGGGATCCTGCCTCATGCAAGCAAGGACATTAGACACTAGACTACTGTGCCAGGCCCAAACAGTTTTTACTATTTGCAGGGTAGATTTACAGAGAAATAGGGAGAGGCAGTGAGAAATCTTTTGTGTCCTGGGGGGTGGAGCAGTTGGGAGAAGAGCTAGTTCCCATATTGGACGTGACATTTCTGGCAGAATCTGAACCCCTTTTGCTGCTATACCTGCCCTTACAGTGTATTACAGTTTGTTGAATGAAGTTATTTAAGAAAGAGATTTTGAATATTTATCACTGAGAAGCAGCTTTCACAGTGCAGGTGGTACAGTCTGAAACCATAATACGTGAAACTTGCGTTCATCACAGGTGCATGGTTTGTGACCAGAACCCTGCAGGTAGCATAAAATATGTGGGGCATCTCTGTATGTGATGTCGACTTAGAACCAAGTTTACATACATTTGTCTTTGCTTTTCTTGTTGCTGCTTTGTCATACTGATAGCACTTTAATGTGTTTTGAGTAAGAAGGAGTTCAAAGTAACTGAAAGTTACTGGTCATTCTGTATGTTTTCTTTGTGGTTCAAAGTGGGTTAGCCCTATAGCCATGGCACACAGAATAAAACAGACATGAAATTAATAGCATGTTAGACGCGAGTAATTTTTCTTTTCTCACAGTGACACAGTTAAGAATTAAAACTGTCTTAAATGATTACTGATTTATTATTATAAGATATCAACTATTTGTGAGAAGTGTTATGTAAATGTTGTGATTTTATTTTTTTTAAATGTTAAATTTACAAGTCACCAGGAGAAGAATATTGCAGTATTTGGAGTACTTAGTGTGTAAGTCTATGGTTTATGTAAGTGGTATTCCTCAATTATTATACAAATTGTAGAAAGCTGCAAGAAATACAGAAATCAGTATTTCAGCACTTGATAACTGATATTTGCATTTGGTGAGTATTACCATCTAGTATATTTTGTTTGTATAATCTATGCATACTTTTGCTTATTTTGCATAGTGGCTTTTATGGCGTATTTAAAATTGTATTTTGCTTGCATTACATAACTCATTTAAGTATTTTAAGATTTTTTTTACTTTATTTGAAAGTATACTTAGAAAAAGAGAGACTCTGTGGTTTTTTTTTTTAAAAGATTGATTTATTTTTGTTACAAAGTCAGATATACAGAGAGGAGGAGAGACAGAGAGGAAGATCTTCCATCTGATGATTCATTCCCCATGTGACCACAACGGCCAGTGCTATGTCGATCTGAAGCTGGGAACTAGGAACCTTTTCCAGGCCTCCCACTTGGGTGCAGGGTCCCAAGGCTTTGAGCCGTCCTTGACTGCTTTCCCAGGCCACAAGCAGGGAGCTGGATGGGAAGTGTATCTGCCGCGATTAGAACTGGCACCCATATGGGATCCCAGTGCTTAGAAGGCGAAGACTTTAGCTGCTAGGCCACAGTGCCGAGCCCGAGATTATGTTTTTCAATTAAACTATTAATGATGTTGTGAAACGAGGGACCAAAATTTAGCAATTAAGAGAAGAAAGAGAAAATGACAAATATCAGTATCTCAAATGACGTCTATTTTTTTGTTTGTGTGTTTTTAAGGATTTACTTATTTTTACTGGAAATGCAGATTTACAGAGAGGAGAAGAGTCAAATCGTCCATACATTTGTTCAGTTCTCAAACCAGCTACACTGGTCAGAGCTGAACTGATCAGGAGCCAGGAGCTTCTTCCAGGTCTCCCATGCAGGTGCAAGAGCCCAAGGCTTTGGGCTGTCCTCTATTGCTTCACAAAACTGGGAACTGGATGGGAAGTGGAGCATCCGAGACAAAAACTGGCGTCCATACGGGGATGCCAACAATGCCTGGCAGAGGATTAGCCAGTAGAGAGATTGCACCAGCTCCTCTAGATTAGCTTTATCCTTTTTTATCCTTTTACTAGGATTAGATGTTTGGTGAATGCTTGTTTATTAATAAATTTTATTAAAATTTAGCTTGATTTTTATTTCCCCTGAATTTGCTAATTTTTTTTTTCCCTTTAAAGACTGCCAGGCCTGAAACTGTCAGTAATGATGATGAAGAAGCTTTAGACGAAGAAACAAAGCGAAGAGATCAGATGATTAAAGGGGCGATTGAAGTTTTAATTCGTGAATATTCCAGTGAGCTAAATGCCCCCTCCCAGGAATCTGACTCTCACCCCAGGAAGAAGAAGAAGGAAAAGAAGGAGGACGTATGTATTCCGGCAGTGTGCGGCCATCGCTGCAGGGTGGTTTCATATGCTGTCATTCTCAAGCTGTGATCATGTTGTCACTTGGAAGAGAAAGCAGTTTGAGGAGAATTTATAGTAATATATAATTCAAGATAAAATTTGATTTTCTTAAACTCATTTGTTTTTGGATAAACTTAAAAATGATGTGGTGTTCTTTGAAAATATTGCAAAATACGTTATTTCCATGAAAATACCCTAAAACATATTTAAGGAATTTTTATATTTTTTTACCTCAGGGTTTTTTTTTTTTTTTCCTCCTTTTAAGATTTATTTATTCTTATTGCAAAGTCAGATATACAGAGAGGAGGAGAGACAGAGAGGATGATCCTCCATCTGATGGTTTACTCCTCAAGTGAGCTCAGTGGCCCGAATTGAGCCAGTTCGAAGCCAGGAGCCAGGAGCTCTCTCCAGGTCTCCCACAGGGGTGCAGGGTCCCAAGGATCTGGGCTGTCCTTGACTGGTTTCGCAGGTCACATGCAGGAAGCTCGATGGAAACTGGGGCACCAGGATTAGAAGCGGCGCCCATATGGAATCCCAGCTCATGGAAGGCGGGGACTTTAGCCACTTAGCTATTGCACTGGGCCCAGGTTTTTTTTTTTTTAAGACTCATTTATTTTGTACTTTTTAAGTTGAAGAGAGAGAGTGTTCTTCAGTCTGTTAATTTACTACCCCATGATTGTGATTTGAGCTAGATGGATCTGAAGCTGGGACCCAGGGGCTTCTTGTTTTTCCATGTGTCAACAGGGGCTTAAAGCCTTGGGTCATCGTTTGTTGCTTTCCGAAAGCATCAAAAATTACTGGGTTGAAAATGTAGCATCCAGGGCACAAACTGGCACCCATATGGGATGCCAGTGCCTCAGGAGGACATTTAGTGTGCTATGCCACAGCACTGAGGTATGGCCTCCCCCCATGGACAATATTTTTTTCATGTGAAGTGTTCTTATTTTCTGTGTTTGGAATACACTATCATGAAGACTTACTATTTTTTAGAAAGAAAAATGTTTCTATGATAATGTTAAAATTGATGATAAGGGATAAGGTAAGGTCGTCATTCTGCCTCTGCAGGAAGGTAGCTTTTACTCTGAAGATTTTCAGGAATTGCTTACTATTTAGCTGCCTCCCCATAAGTTGGCCTGTTTCAGTTCCCTCCATGACAGTAATGACATGGAGCATTCACCTGGAGTTACCCTGGCCAAGCAACGCGAGAGGAAGCAGTGTTCTCCAGGGAATCTAGTGTCACCTTTCTGTTCCAATAAGCCAATGGAAGAGTAGGGAGTCCAGGGTGAAAGAAGCAGCTTCTTGGATTCACCTCACTTAGATTATGGGGGTGAATGGTTTTTAAAAAATGGGAAGTATTTTATATCCCTGTGTAATGGGAGATCTTCAGAGAGAACGTGGGAAATAGCTGTTATTCCCATCCATGAAGTGCATGATTTCAAAATTTTTGCACAAAAGTTAATGTAATATTTTGCATGAAATTTAAGTGCCTTTTTACGTGCCATTAGAAACACTGCTGCCAATTGTGTGGATCAAGTTATCAAGGGTGATTAATGGATCATATTTTTTGGGATTTCAGTGCCTCCTTAGAGACATCTAAAGTTTTCTTTGTTGCCAAATAGCCAAATAATTTTTACCAGTTGCTTGGTTCTTCCTAATCTGGTTGTAAAACCCTGTCTGGTGATCTGCTGTCTCTGGACTGATCAGCAGTGAGGGCACTCAGGAATTGGGCAGTTGCTTTCTGTAGAGTTGGCTGCTTTACTTTTTCATCAGTTGGAAAGGGAAATAGTAGCTAAACAGAATCAGTAAAATCTTGTCATATGGTAGGAATCACAGGCACATTTAATAGATTATTTTTTACTATATAATTTTTTTAAGATTTATTTGTTTTATTGGAAAATCAGACTTACTGGCTCATTCCGTAAGTGACAGCAAAAGCTGAAGTTAAGCTGAACTAAAACCAGGAGCTTCTTCCAGGTGTCATACGTGCCTGCAGGATCTCAAAGTTTTGAGCCATTCTTGAATTCTTTTGTAGGCCACAAGCAGGAGCTGGATGGGAAGCGTGGCTGCTGAGACAGGAACCAGTGCCCATATGGGATGCAAGGCACTAACTTTAGCCACTAGGCTATCCTGCTAGGCCCATGTTTATTGTATCTTGGGGGAGATCACAGGCAGGACCCTGCTACTCTGAAGCTGTCATGATCCTTTGTTTGAGGGTGGTTGAAGGGAGTGATGGGTGCAGCCCATGGAAGTTTTGTCTTGCTTATAGTACAGATGGATAGATACTAAAATACGAGTGGTATAAACTGTTTTTATTTTTTATTTTTTGTGGATTTTTCCGCAGATCTTTCGCCGATTTCCAGTGGCCCCTCTGATCCCTTATCCGCTCATCACAAAGGTTTGTTTAAATTGTGGGCTTTGGGAAAGCCTTTGATCATTGACAGTTGCCAATTTTATTTCTCTTTTTCTAAAGTTTAGCTTGTTAAGTATTACTGTAAATGTTATGTTTATTCACATTTTGTAGGACTCCTAGAAAATATCTGATTTTTTCAAATTAATAAATTGGTGTTTTATTCGCTTCTTCCTGCTGCCTTTGTTTTTTTAGGAGGATATAAATGCTATAGAAATGGAAGAAGACAAAAGAGACCTGATATCCCGAGAGATCAGCAAGTTCAGAGACACACACAAGGTAATATTCTTGTTTATTCGCTTGATTCCAATCTAGACTTTTTACAGAAGCCAAAGAAAACAGACAAGAAAATCAACTTTACATTAGAATATAATTTTAAATGCCTTTTTGTAGGTTAGATATTTAGATAGAAACAAAGAAACAGAAAACCAGTGCCATTTTAAAATGGTCCTTGACATACTGTACTTAGTTTTTTTCACTTACTGACTACTCTGCAGCCATCTCACTTTACTATGAATACAAGTTAAGTTTATTTTTAGATTACAACATAAACATCAAGATCAGATTTGGAGTTGGGGACAGCAGGATAACATACACTATAGTGTATTTTTGGGGCAGTTAATTAACCTAGTCTTAGGAAATTTCCTTTTTTCTTTAGAGCTGAGGTTTAAGATTTATATTTGTGTAGCTTTAAGTTGAGTGGGGGAGATTTTAAAAAGTAGGTCAGTGGTTACCAGACTTACCAAATTTTAGATGCATGGAAGAACTGTAAATTCCCATAAAGCTAATCTATTCATTGACCCCCACCATTATGATAGAGATCATATGGTGACTAATGCAAGATGAAACTCTCAGCTTGGAAAGTAACAAGGAATAGGATGTAAGTATGAGCTTCTGTTTTTTATTATATTTATGGATGCCCCCTCAGAAAAATATGCAAAGGGGTAACTGGCTTGAAAATGTTATTTGTGCATTTTAAACCCACTCATGAGTTTTGCCCATTGAAAGTTTCTCTCCATGAATGTTCACTGATATTATGGATGTGGAAGAGTAAACACTGCATGACATGTGTTTTCATGGCGGAATAATAAGATGTTATTGACTCTTATTCAGGGACAGAGATCAGCGCAGTGTTAAGTATTCGCTTTTTTTTGTATGAATCTGATTTTTTCCTCATTGCTTTCAATAAACAAGCATCAATGAATCTGCTGTTAAACACCTGTTATCCAAATGCCAAGTCCTAGTTCACCCATATGGCTTCTTCAGGAATTAATTTTGCCTATAAACACATAGAATTTTCCCAGAATTAGTTTCCAGAGTCAAAATTACGGTGTGTGTGAAATCATTTTAGAGGAACACTTTTGGTTAGATTCAGTGTTTAAATTTAGTACTGAGTAAGATTAAAAATTACATATAGTTCTGTGTGGTTTATCCCATTTTGTTTTTATTTATTTGTGAGACCCTGTTGTTTATTGGTTATGAATAAATCATGTTTTAAAAAAATAATGCAAAAGATACTCTTGGGAGTCTGAGAACCTCTTGGGCATTTCACTGCCTTAGTATTATTTCACTAAGGGGAATGTTTGGATTTGGAAAATGTGTTTTGAAAAGTAAAAAAAAAAAATTACTTATATTGGGTGTTATGGTTTAATGGGACTGTTTGAAACTCCAGCTAAAAAAATGAGCTCAGTGAACCTTTGCATGTTTTGGTTTGAGTTTATGAAATAACCACAGACTGTCAGGGTATCAGCGTGGCAGGGGGCGTCCATTTACAGCACGGATGAGTCTGAAGAGAGTATCAGGTAAGATTTATGATTCTTTAAAATCTGTCCTTTTTCTTCATTACTTTCTTGAAACAGTTTTTAGACTCACCTCATTTCCTATTTCTCCAGTCATTCTTAAAAATACACATTAATGCTGTATAAATATGTTTTTGCATATGTATATAGCATGTAAAAACTTTATGAACATTCAGTATAGATCAGATTCAGTCACTTTTTTATTTACTTAAATCCAAACTTGAAGTGAGAGTTCTGAAATAGATTGTTTACTTGCATAATAGAATAATAGCACAGTAAAAATAAGGAAGAGTAGAAAAAAAATAAAGGATTTCTGCAAAAGAAATTAATAGTGGAACAGCTAAAATAATCTGTAAGTATCAGTCTCAAAAGTAAATACATTTCTTTAAAAGTGTATGACTTTGAGGTAAGTTATATGTAGTTAGGCTTCATTTTACAGCACAGAAATTATGTAAGAACTATTTTAGGAATGAGATTTGGCCCCTATAATAGTTTGTTTCTGTCCTCTTTTTAATATTATTATTATTACTTTATTTTTATTTTTAAAAATCATTTCTTATCCTTACGCTTTGTAATTTCAATATATCCAGTATTGGCTTTGCCTATGTTTTACTTTAGATTGGCACAGCAACTGAATATATTGCTCTCTCATACATTAGCTTTTCTTTCATAATCCTCTATCAGTTCTCTATTCCATGAGGAAGACATAAAGAGTATCTTAAAGGTAAGATTGCTTTTTAAAGTTGTTTTAAATGCTATACATTATTGAGAAAAGAAAACTGCACATTTTGTTGTTACACTTTAAATTTCATTTCAGTGAAACTAAACGTGGCACCAAAAGGATAAATGTGTATTGGCTTTGTTTGTTTTACCTGTTTGGGGTATATATTTTTTTCTTTGTGTGGAGTCCATGTGGTACATTGGTAATCTTGTCAGGGTACAAACTTGGTCTGCTTTTGTTATTTGGTTTATTTGTGAACCATGTACTTGCTCTTCCTCCCAGAAACATAGCTTGTAGGGAAGGTTAATCCAGTGTTGGCGATCCATGTCCTAGCACAGAATCTGTAAGTTAATACACAATCATTCCTTCCAAGGATGGATTTATCATTGTAAATATATTTTAGTATTTTACAGGCATAATGGGCATAATGCTGCTTTTAATGTTTAAAATGAAAATATTGCAATGTATATTTTGCTTGAAGTGAATTGATTTGAAACTTTCTGTATTTGGTGGGCTGTCTGTCTCAATGTGGGAGTAACATTTCCATAAACCACAAGTCTTGGCTGAATTCAGGTTTTGTTACTTTCGGAGGGAGGGTAAACCAGAGGGTGGATTCTTTAGTTGCATTATGGTGACCGACATTGCTTCTTCACCTCCCCCTTTAAAAGTCTAAGCTGGTGTGGGACATCAGCTTATAGCTGCCGTCAGTGGTCCCACTGATGCGCAGAAATGCACAGTGAACAAAATCAAGGTTTAGCCAAGTGATTGGATTTCTAGAAATTATTATGAACCACTGCATTTCCTCATGGTCGATCCACATTGTTGTCATTGAGTGGCCAGCCACACTTGATACAATACCTCAGCATTTAAGATTGTTAACTCCTGGTCTGTGTAGAGTATATGGTTTTGCACGAAATTATCAAGTCTTGTGATTGTTTCAGTTTAATTTGTCAAGTAAAACCACAAGTATTTAATATTAAACTGCCAGTGGTTTGATGTTTTTGTTGCCTGTGTTGGGCATTGCGCCGGGAAATCTCCATACTGGAGCTACAGAGATGACTCTAAAAGTGCTTTTATTGGTTTCTAGAAACTGGAAGAAGAGAAAGGCAAAAAGGAAAAAGAAAGACAGGAAATTGAGAAAGAACGGAGAGAAAGAGAGAGGGAGCGTGAAAGGGAACGAGAAAGGCGAGAACGGGAACGAGAAAGGGAAAGAGAACGTGAACGAGAGAAGGAGAAGGAACGGGAGCGGGAACGAGACCGGGATAGGGACCGGGACCGGACCAAAGAGCGAGATCGGGACCGGGAGCGCGAGCGAGATCGGGACCGGGATCGAGAACGGAGCTCGGATCGAAATAAGGATCGCAGTCGGTCGAGGTAAGGCCTTGTCAAAGGGCGTTGTTGGAACTAGAGATTGCCAGCTCACCTGTCTCTGATGTTGCGCTTTCTGGGTGCTAGGCTTCGCCTGGTGGACGTGGGTGAAATAACAATTTTCAGCTCTGTTTGATTTCTCTGTGAAGGTCAGGATTTCCAGAGAGCGGGACAGAGCACGCCAGCGGGGTTGACAGTCTCTAACTTGCTCATTAGTCTTGTATGTTGGGGAGAATTAGTAGTGATTTTGCTTTTTCCTATTGTACACTGTTATATAATTTAGTTATTCGGGCCATTATTAATTGTTCTTCGTTCCTTTCAATATGTTTATGTTCTGTTTACTTTCTGTTCTAATAATGGTTATCCTTGACTTTAGAGTGTAGTTGAGATTTGAGATCAGACCGTTTTTGTCTTGCTGATCTACAACAAATGGTGAATTCTGTTTCCGGTGTTTCTTAGTATTGTAGTCTTCCTTTCCCTTTGTGTTTACAAGAAAACAAAAACTCAGTTGAAATCCTTGGTTTTTGTAGAGAAAAGAGCAGAGACCGTGAAAGGGAACGGGAGCGGGAACGAGAAAGAGAGCGGGAACGGGAGCGAGAACGAGAACGAGAGAGAGAGCGAGAGCGGGAACGGGAGCGAGAGAGGGAGAAGGACAAGAAGCGAGACCGAGAAGAAGATGAGGAAGATGCATATGAGCGAAGGAAGCTTGAAAGAAAACTCCGCGAGAAAGAAGCTGCTTACCAAGAGGTAAAGGGGAAGGGATCTTATTTCCAAAGCCTGGTATACTTAGGTCTGTTAAAAGGGTGTGGAATCCTGTATCCAGATTGGTAAAGCTCCTCTCCCCCCTTTTTTTAGCGCCTTAAAAATTGGGAAATCAGGGAACGCAAGAAAACTCGGGAATATGAAAAGGAGGCTGAAAGAGAAGAAGAAAGGAGAAGAGAGATGGTAAGTTAGAGATTACCAATAAATGCAGAGCAGGTGATTCCCGTGTATCGTAAATGAAAGTAAGTCACAGAATGTTTTGGAGATTTGTTTAGTTTCGGGATTTATTTTTATTGGGAAATTGGAGATCGTCGAGTGCCTGGGTCACTCTTCAAGTGGTTGCAGTGGTCAGAAAACTGGGGCCATCTGAATCCAGGAGCTTGTAGCCTCTATCTCCCACCTGAGTGCGGGGTCCCCAGCACTTGGCCCATCCTGAGCTGCTTTCCCAAGCACATTACAGGTTAGATGGGTAGGAAGTGAAACGCCCAGGACTTGATCCAAAACTCTATATGAAAATGGAGGCTTAGCCTGCTGTGTCATGATTGCAGCCCCTGTTTGTCACAGATTTATGGAATATTCTGTAGGGAGCTGGCACTTGGAACATCATATCTTGCATTAGTGCAGATTCCAGACCTGGACTGCCTTCAATCTTTCAATCCTGAAAGGTATTTTATGAAGCACCAGGTTAATCCCATCAGAGTTAGCATGCCATATTCACTTCATGCCATTGCATACTGGGGTATTGGAGATAAAATTCATATCACAGTAGATACTTTTCATTGTTTTTTATCAATCTTTACGCTCCCTTTGGCAATATCATGTTTTTTTACGATGAGTTGTATGATTTGTTTGAAAATATTAATTTTTAAAATATCTGATAATTACCGTAGGAATTTCAGATGTAAAAATATTTTGGGTTGGTGGTTGGAAAGTGATACCGGCATTCCTTATGTGAATGCCAGTTTGAGTTTTGCCTGCCCTGCTTCTGATGTGGTTTGGTGTTAACTTTTCTGGAATAGCAGAGAATAATCATCTAGGTTCTTTAGCCTCTGACACCGAATGGGAGAAAGACTTTGGTGGAGTGCTGGTGTCTGGTTTTGTTCTGACCCAGCTAAGCCCTGGCTGTGGGCATTGGGGGAGTGACTCAGTACATGGAAAATCTCTGACTCCCTCCCTTTTCCCCCCTCCCCAACTCCATCTTTCCAGAGTCCCTAACAGAAACTGGAATCAGGAGCTACAACCGGGAATAAGCCCTCAGTCACTTCAATTTGAGACATTGTCATCCTTAATTGCTATTTTGTTTCCTTTTCTTTTCCTCCTTATTTTTTTTAAAGATTCATTTATTTGATTAAAAGGCATAGTTAGTCTTACGTTTCGTGGCTAAGTGCTAAAGTTGCTTGTTTTGCCGGTGAAAGCTAAACAATGTCTAATGTGATTCACATTAATATGAAGCATAGGAGGTCCATGAAGTGTAAGCGATGTGGATAAGTGAAATTGTTCTTGCATAGGGGGAAGGAATCTTCCCAATGTCTTGTATGTTAAATGTACCCTTCATTTCCTCATAGGCAAAGGAAGCTAAGCGACTAAAAGAATTCTTAGAAGATTATGATGATGATAGAGATGATCCTAAATATTACAGGTAAAGGAAGCTTGTTTATAAACTAATATCTTCAGCTTTTAATCTGCTACATTTTCCCTGTGTCAAATAATACACATTTATCAAGTGCACTAAGTAGGATTTCACATTTCATCCTGAAATTACTGCTGCATAGTTTTCAAAGTTTTTAATAATAAACGTGTTTTATTTTTGATGATTACATAGTTGAGAAGGGATGTATGCCCATGTGAATCATCTGCTGAACCACATGAGTGGGGGTGGGGCAGACGGGACTGGCTGTAGTATCTACCAGTAAGATCCAGAATGGGTGTGGGCTGGTCTGGTAGTACTGGTGTACCTTCCAGTGAATGTTGGGACTGCAAGTGGGCCAGTCAGACCGGGCCAAGAACCCACCAGAGTGTGCAAGAGCTGCGGCTGGATGGTGACCTGGTAGAACAGCTTGGGGAACTGCTCTGTCAGGACGCAGTCCCTGCTGGTGAGCATAAGAACTGAAGCCGGGGATAAGTGTTTGGGCTAGTTGCTAGCATACACTGGCAGATGTGACAACCAGCATAGGGTGCAGGACAGGCTTCGTGGGGCTGCAGTGACTAACTTTTATGACTACCTAGGCTTGTCTAAAACAATTTCTCTGCAAGTATTCAGAGAATTTACAAATGAACAAAAAGTAATGTATTGGGGGTCAAGTCTTAAGAGCACCAGTTCAAGTCCTGGTTCCAGCCGAGAGCCATCTCCCTGCTGAAGCAGTAGAAGCTGGCCCATAATGTGAGGCCCATATGAAGCTCTTGGCTCCAGGTCTTGGCCTAGCTCAGACACAGCTGTTGTTTTTATCTAGAGTGAACCAGGGAATAGCATCTGCTTGTCTTTGCCTTCTTTCCCAACTTTCCTCCATCCCTGCCCGTATGTGTATCACTACGAAGTGAGGACTCTGGTTTCATTTTGTCACCTGTGTTCTCCATGATGTTTTTTTCCTTTCTTTTATTTTATTTAGTGCTTTGTTTTCTAATTCCTTGAAAGGGGGTCACCTTATTGTGGTTATATTCACCAAATGCCTGTAATAACCAGGAGTGAGCCAGAGAGGATCAGGAACTGCAAGCTCCATGTGGTTCTCTCATCCTGGGGATAGAAGGCGAAGGCTATACTACCAGCTGCTGCCTCACAGGGTGTGTGTGTCATCAGGAAGTCAGGCTTGGGTAGAGCTGAGACTTGAACTTAAGCATTCTAAAGTGGACCTGCAATTCAGAGTGCCATACCACCTGCCCCTCTGTGGTATTTCTAAACTACTCCCATCCTAGTATTAATAACTTCTTGTAAAGTTGTTTTCTTCTGATACCTGCTATTCACACTGAACATTCCACAGAGTGTTGCTTGATAACCATTTTGTATGTCTCATGTTTTACATGATATACATGTAATGAAGGCATTTGAGATACATATATTAATTGATATATGTAGTTTTTAATACATTATATATCAATTTATGTAATATCTAATATGGAAGTATATATCAGTATATAATATTTTATCAATTTATATGTGATATATCATAAAATACCAATACATTGAATCTAAACCATTTAAATTTGAAATACCAAGGTAAATTGGAAAGCATGCCAAAGATAGCAGTTTCATCTAGAAAAACGCATGAAAGACATTAAAATTGTCAAAGACTATGGCTAGTGATGGCTCAGTTGGCCCCAGACTACAAGCACTGGTATCTCATATGAATGATGCTTCATGTTCTGGCTGCTTCACTTCCCATCCAGCTCCCTGCTTGTGGCCTGGGAAAGCGGAAAAGGATGAGCCAGGGCCTAGGGACCTTGCAGCCTGTGGAGACCCTGAAGACACTCCTGGCTCCTGTTAGATTGCCTTATCCCTGGCTATTGTAGCTATTTGGGGAGTAAATTGTCAGATGGAAGATCTTTTTGTGTCTGCTCTCTGTAAATCTGCCTTTCCAGTGAAAATAAATTTTAAAAACTATCATATAGCAGTACATAACTCCCACATTCCAAATTATAGTTAACTGCCAGGTAGAGAATCTTTGCTTTGTATTTATTCTGTACTGCTTATTCTGGAATTTTTTTACAAGGAAGTGAGTGAATTCAAGAAACATAATTATTAGTGGTATCAATATTGTTTTTCTTTGTGTATCTAGGAAATTAGATTTCCATTCATCCCCTTAAAGCAACCTTGTAAATTTGTTTTAAACTCTGAGAAGGAACATAACAAGGTTGCTTTTTACATGTAAATGTGTGGTGGACACATTATGTGTACGTTCTATGGATAACAAATATTGAGCCATTCATTCTCTTAACACGATTTTTTTTCTTTTAACAAAGGTGCTGTGGATGCATTGGGTATAGTGGTTGATGACTTGAGAACTAAATGTGTCCCTTTGCCATTTACCTTTGCAGAGGAAGTGCTCTTCAGAAAAGGCTGCGTGATAGGGAAAAGGAAATGGAAGCTGATGAGCGAGATAGGAAGAGAGAAAAGGAAGAGCTTGAGGAAATCCGGCAGCGTCTCCTGGCAGAAGGACACCCGGACCCGGATGCAGAGCTCCAGAGGGTAAGGTGCTATGTTGGATGTGAAGATTTTGCTGTAGATCATCACGCAACTTTGAAACCAACTTTCAATTTACTACACAGCAAGGGAAAATATACTTCACAGTGAAAATAATGTGTTTGCATATGGGAGGTTTTAGTGCTTTAAAAATTGCTTTTTAAAAAACAGAGCTGGGGCATCATAGGGAGGGAGTATGCTTGCATTTGATGGATAACTTTTTTTTTTTGATAGATTTATTCTTGTTTTTATTGAGAAGTCAGATATGCATAGAGGAGGAGAAATAGAGAAGAATATCTTCCATCTGATGATTCACTCCCCATGTAACCACAACAGCCAGTATTGCCCTGATCTGAAGCTGGGAGACAGGAGCTCTTCTGGGTCTCCCACGTGGGTACAGGGTCCCAAGGCTTTGGGTCATTCTCGACTGCTTTCGCAGGCCACAAACAGGGAGCTGGATGGGAAGCAGGGTTGCCGGGATTAGAACCGGCACTCATATGGGATCCCAGCACGTTCAAGGCGAGGGCTTTAGCTGCTAGGCCATCACACCGGGCCCTGATGGATAACTTCTCAAAGGCCTAAAACAGCCAGGATGAGGCCAGCCTGAGCAGGAACTCAGAACTTCTTTCCAAGCCCCCACATATGTGTCAGGGTCCCAACCACTTGTTTCTTTGCTCCCTGCCAAGTGCATTAGCAGCAACTAGGTCAGAAGTTTAGTAAATTGAACTAGAATGAGCATTCTAATACTGGGACATCTCAAGTCAACAACTCACTGTATCATTAGGCCTACCCCAGAATTTTTATTTCTATAGACATATCATGAGTGTATAATGATTTACACTATCTTAAGTGTCTTGTTGTCTTACTATGTCATAAATCTAATAGAAATTTGTCAAAATTTTATTACCTATACGTGATTTTTATTAACAGAAGTCATATTCTTACATTTCTTCTGTTTTTCAAAATGAAGTATTTTTTTCTTGTTAAAGCAAGTACTTATATGAACACACAGAAAGTTTAGAAAAAATTTGTAAACAATTTTGAAGCTGTATGAAAACCCTCTTATTGGTAATGGTGTTTAAAAACTTATGATTGAGCTGAGTGGTTAACATGGGGTCAAGCGGCTGGTGTTGTGCACTTTCTTTAGCCACTCCTTTTGCTGCTGCTGTTCTGTATCAGTTCATCCTGTGGCTGCTGTGCTTCTCTCATCCATTTGTAATCAGCTGATGCTCCTTGGAGAGCACTGGGAGATGGTGGACATGTCGGGCCCTTGCCACCCATGGGAGAGACCCAGAAGGTGTTCCAGGGCTCCTGCCTGCAGTCTGCGTCAGTCCTGTACTTGGGGCTGTCTTGGCAGTGAGCCAGCAGGTTAAGATCTTTATCTTTGCCCTTGTTTAAAAAAAAAAGAGTTGTTTAAGACACTAGCTGGTGCCATTGTGCTGGACCCATTTGTAATCAGTGTAGGTGCTGTGATCGTTTTAAAAATGTTACCAGGTTATGAAGGACTATACTATTGTAGCAACTTGAGGAAATTCAGTTGATGGGGAAGGATTTGGGAGGGACAATTCCCAGTTTCTACAAAATTGTAACATAAAATTAAAAAAATAATAATTAACAAACAAATACTACTACATATATTTGCCCCACAACCTAAATTTTCTGAGTGGTACTGTAACATGAATGCTGGTTTTGTTTCTTGGTTTGTTTTTGTTTTGTTTTTGTTTTTTGCTGTGCTTTGAAGTTATTTACAACCTTCCAAGAGGATTTTATTAACTTATTTCTCTAATGTCTTCTCCATACATTTACCATCATGAGGTACTATCAGTGTTTATGTTTTTATGTTTTAGCATAGAAACATTATTTGGGGAATGCTTGTTTCAGTTCTGCAACAGAATGTTTGAATGCCTTATAAAGTAGTCATTATTAATTCTTTGTGACTTCATAATATGCCATGTACAAGTTTGGATTTTTTATATGACTAGGATACAATTCTAGTATCATTTATGTTTGAGAGGTATTCTTCCAAAATTATTTTCATTAGAAAGCTTGATTTACAGTGGTAAGAAGAGACAGAACCTGCAGCCATCTACATATCCACTCCCCAAATGGCCACAATAGTCAGAACTGAGCTGATCAGCACCCAGGAGCTTCTTCTGGGTCTCCCACTTGGGTGCTTGGTCCAAAGCCTCGGGCCATCCTCTGCTGCTTTCCCAGGCCAAAAACAAAGAGATAAATGGGAAAGGGAGCAGCTGGGGTGTAAATAGGCTACCATATGGAATTCTATTGTTTGCAGTGGAATAGAGGATTGGCCTGTTGTACCACTGTACCAAGCTATTATTTTGGCATAAACTTTTGACTCCATTTTCCCCCTGGTGTTTATGAATACAAATGTGAATACCAGGTTTACCTATTGCCTATGAAGATCAGATATTGACATGTTACCAAGCCGTAGGTTGTACTTCCTTTTATATTTTTTGGAGGTGTTGTATTGGAAATTTTTTATATTAAAAGTATAAATACAGAGAACGGGTGATGAAGAGAGATATATAGTTGAACTGGCCCCACATTTTGTTATTACCTCGATATAGTTTCTTTAAGAAATACATTATTTCTGGGTGGCGCAAGTGGTTGGGGTCCTTGCCTTGCATGCCCGGGATCCCATATGGGCGCCTTTTCTATCCCGGCGGCCCCACTTCCCTTCCAGCTCCCTGCCTGTGGCCCGGGAGGGCAGTCGAGGACGGCCCAAAGCTTTGGGACCTTGCACCCACGTGGGAGACCCGGAAGAGGCTCCTGGCTTCAGATCGGCATAGCATCAGCCGTTGCGCTCACTTGGGGAGTGAATCATCGGACAGAAGATCTTCCTCTCTGTCTCTCCTCTCTGTATATCCGCCTTTCCAATAAAAAAATAATAAAAAATAAATCTTTAAAGAAATACATTATTTCTTTCTGAGGAGTTTCCTAGTTCCTAGTATATTGAATAGATTTCTTAGTTTTCTGCTTGTAGAAGGAGACAGCATTACGTTAGTACTAATCAAAAAGAAAAAGGTAAACTTTAAAATGGTAATGTAAAGCTAATGTAAGTTGAATCAAGTACAATGCAGTCTCTTAAGAGTGGCTTGTTTTGTTGCAGATGGAACAAGAGGCAGAGCGACGCAGACAACCACAAATTAAACAAGAGCCAGAATCAGAAGAGGAGGAGGAAGAAAAACAAGAAAAAGAAGAAAAACGAGAGGAACCTATGGAAGAGGAGGAGGAACCGGAACAGAAACCTTGTCTCAAACCTACTCTGAGGCCCATTAGCTCTGCCCCATCAGTCTCCTCTGCCAGTGGCAATGCGACTCCCAACACTCCTGGGGACGAGTCTCCCTGCGGGATTATCATTCCTCACGAGAACTCACCCGACCAGCAGCAGCCCGAGGAGCACAGGCCAAAAATAGGACTAAGTCTGAAACTGGGTATGTGGACCTTCACATGCTTCTGTTTTACTTTACAAGAAAAAATAAATTGTTGTTAATGTGATAGTAGGTAGTTAGAAAATTATTCACAATGCCTTTCTAGCTCACAATTGTTTTCATAGTTCTAATGGTGCTCCTAAGTCTGCAGCTGCCTGTGCTCTGTGAAGAAGTGAAAAGTTAAATTTTCTAGCACTTGTGAGTAGTGAGTTAAATTTTTTTAGTTGGGAATTTTCTCTGAGATTTGTGGAAATATGTTTTTTACACATTTTTGGGGATGGTAGGTTGTAAATTTTGTCATTTTAGACATTGAGCTAAAGCAGTGTTTTTGCTATAGGTGCTTCCAACAGTCCTGGGCAGCCGAATTCTGTGAAGAGAAAGAAACTAGCTGTAGATAGTGTGTTTAACAAATTTGACGATGAAGACAGTGACGATGTCCCCCGAAAAAGGAAGCTGGTTCCCTTGGATTATGGTGAAGATGACAAGAATGCCACCAAAGGAACTGTGAACACTGAAGAAAAACGTAAACACATTAAAAGTCTTATTGAGAAAATTCCTACAGCCAAGCCTGAGCTCTTTGCTTATCCACTGGATTGGTCAATTGTAGATTCTGTGAGTACAAAATTGCATTTCATAATGTTATGAGGAAGCTGGTTAATGTAATGATGTAATTGTGGTAATGACAGAGAAGGATGGTCATCATTGTGTGAAGAATTTTGACACCTAAGAAGTGCCTTGACCAAGGACTTGTTATTGGGGAAATTAGTGTTAGTATTTCAGTATTTAACATCTTAACAGATTACAAGGAAATAATTGTCTTGATGCTTGTCTGCTCTAATTTTTAATGAGCGTAGTTGATTTTATTCTTAAGTCTGAGATTTGTAGGACTTAATAAGTTTGCTTAAAAAGAATAATAATACTGGTTTATTTCATAGATACTGATGGAACGACGAATTAGACCATGGATTAATAAGAAAATCATAGAATACATAGGTGAAGAAGAAGCTACGTTAGTTGATTTTGTTTGTTCCAAGGTTAGTCTTCATTGTTTTTATTTTAAAAGATCTATCATCAGTGGTGTGTTCGTTTGGCAAGTTAACCAGCAGTTGGGCTGTCTGTATTTCTCTTCTTGGTCTCTGTTAGCCAAATAATCTGTTATGTTTCATTTATGATTTTTAAAAATATTTTGTTGCAAAAAAAGCATTTTTAAAAGATTTTATTTATTTTCATTGAAACATCAGATTTACAGAAAGTAGAGAAAAAAAAATCTTCTGTTTGCTTGTTTACTCTGTAAGTGTACACGAAGGCTGGAGCTGAGCTGATCCCAAGCAAGGAGTCAGGAGCTTTTTCTGGGTCTCCCACGCAGGTGTAGGATCTCAAGGCTTTGGGCCATCTTTGCCTGCTTTCCCAGGCCATGGCCAGGGAGCTGGATAGGAAGTGGGGCAGCTGGAACATGGGTTGGGGATCCCAAGAAATGCGATGAGAGGACTTTAGCCTCTCACCTCCTGCATTGGGCCGTGGTGCAAGCATATTTTAAAATTCTTCAAATTTTCTCGGATTGTCCATTTTGTATGAACATTTGGAAGAGCTTGAATATGATCAACAGAATCTTGGGTTGACATCAGCTGTGGACACTGGTTTGTGTCCCAGCTTCTCCAGTTCTAATTCAGTTTTATTTTTGTTTTGACCATTACCCTCTATTATATCATTCCACTTGTCTTCTGAAAGGTAATGGTTTTTACAATAAAGGCTCCATTTTGTGTCAAGATGTACAAGTCAAGTTTAAGTTCAAATTAGGAAATAGAGCATACAGTGATTAAGGTTTCTGAATTTAAACACATTATAAAGAAGAGCTGGCGTGATGGCTCCACAGGCTAACCCTTGCCTGCCAGTGCTCGCTTCACATGTAGGTACCAGTTGGTGTTCGGACTGTCCCACTTTTAATCTTGCTTGCTGGTTATTATCTGGGACCCTGCACCCATGTGGGCCACCTGGAAAAAGCTCCAAGCTCCTGGATTAAAAAATATCCAGCAGATCTTTCTCTCTGTCTCACCTTCTCTGTGTAAGTCTGCCTTTCAAATAAATGCCAATAGTCATCCCTATCTGGCCAGCTGGGCTCACTCTTTCCTTGAAGTTTTCTCAATGAATCTATTTCTGTTCTCTTGTTGTTTAAAAAAAATGGGGACCTGTGCTATGGCATTGTATGTTAAGCCTCTGGCTACTGGAGCTAGCATTCTATATGGGTACCAATGGTTCCACTTCTAATTCTCTCTGCTAAGCAGCAGCTGGCTCAGGTGCTTTGGCTTTGGTCTTTGAACATCCGAGTTGCAGCCGTTGTGGCCATTTTGCGAGTGAACCAGCAAATGCAAGTTTTGTCTCCTTCTCTCTTTGTAAATTTGCCAATCTGAAGTTTTTTCTAGGTCTCCCCCATGGATTCAGCGTACAAGGGATGGGAAGTGGGGTTGCCGGCATATGAACCTGTGGCAATACAGGGTCCCCACACTTGCAATGGGAGGATTAGCCAGTTGAGCCATCATGCCCAAATGAAGAAATCTTTTAAAAAAAATAATAAACAGTTTTCCTAAGCCATGGGAAGTCTCTTGTGAATGTGAAGGTTTCATCTGGAAGCATTTATTGTCTGTTTGCTATGTTTATTTTGGAACATGACAAATTATGTTCATTTTCTTTAGGTTATGGCTCACAGTTCACCTCAGAGCATTTTAGATGATGTTGCTATGGTAAGTTAGTACTCAGCTGCCATCAGCAGCTTTACTGTTTTTATCAGCAACCTGATTGATAAATTTTATTAATTTCCTGCATATGTTGATTTGAGAAACTTTGTAGGGTTCAATTAACATTTGAATATGCACTGGAAGAGGTTAATGTCACTCATAGCTAGGTATTACTACCGCACGCAAAAAGTGCAACTAACATTGTGCTAGTAGGATGAACAATAGAACCTTTGCCCTCAATGAACTTTGGTTTCATTTTGAGCCTCTGTTTTATTTCTCAACTATGATGTCTATGTGAATTAATGCTTCTGTGTATATTAAATCTGAGGTCATTTCTGGTGCACAGTTTGCAACATTCAGAAACTCAGAAAAATTGTCTTCTTTTGGGTACTTAGTATTTATTTTCAGAGAACCAAGTTTCATGGCAGTAGTACCTTTGCAGTGTAGCTATATTTCTTCCAATTTACAAAGGGACTGAGGTTCAGTGAGGTCAGGTAACCCAAAGGCATATAATTATTAAGAGGTAGAAATGGGATTTGATCCTTTGAAGTTTGACTACAGATCCAGTTCTCTCCATTTCTGCTCTAAATTGTCTCGGTGTAGACGTACTGCGTGCGGTCACTGCTCACCAAGGAAATGATGCCCTGAGGTTTAGGTTAGCTCTTATTTAGAAGAAAACGAGATGGCCGACCTTTGTGTAGAAGAGAAGATGTGCGAGTGCCGGAGTGAGGGATACTTGGGTTTGTCTTCAGTAGTCTTGTTTCCTGTGGTGATGATGAGCTCTACTTTCTTATATCCAAAAAGCCATTTTAAAAATGTTGCACATATTTATGTTTATTTCTGTGTCATTTTTAATGTCATAGCTAAATGTTGGATAAGATCAAGTTCTTCCGAAGTTACTGTTTTTTTTATGATAAGCATTTGTTCTTCTAGGCAGCAGTTTTTTCAGCTTATGTATAAGTGCCATTACCTCTTAAGATAAAATTCATAAGTAGAAGTTACAATAAATTTTCGATCCAAATTGCTATTGTTAGTGTTTGTAAACTCTGAAATTGATGAATAAAATGTTTGTAGTTTATGTGTGCTATTTAATAAATTTCTCAGAATACAGATATTTCCTATAAGTTTTTTTATTGAAAGTAATTGTTCTGTAAGTAGGTAAACCCTTTTCTGTACTTGTCACTGTTGAGCAGTGCTGCTGATCACTTGCTTTAAATGCATTGTGTCTTTTTGTCTTGCAGGTACTAGATGAAGAAGCAGAAGTTTTTATAGTCAAAATGTGGAGGTTATTAATATATGAAACAGAAGCCAAGAAAATTGGTCTTGTGAAGTAAAACTTTCACAGTCGAATTTAATTTCATATTTCTTCTCACTCTTCAGAGGACTTTGAATTTTTCTTTGTCTTCAAAGATATCTGTGAGATTGTAATTTTTTTTTTTTTAATGTAGAAAATGTGAATTTTTTTGTCCTAATTTGTTGGTGCCTTCTGCACTTCCTTGGTTGTAAAGTCATCTGAGTCCTTGATTCTCTTTATACTCGCCAGGTACAAATGACTGGTATGTTTTATAAGCCACAACTGCTGTACACAGCCTATCTCAGAATCTTGTTCTGCTGATTTATTCCTTGTACATATTGAAATGACTTCCCCAGGGTTTTTTTTTTTTTTCAGAGTCACTTAATGTTGAACTGTGCTATATATAGAAGCCAATATGAACTATTTTTATTGGATACCAATGAAATCTGTTACCACCTCACTCCCTCACCCCTTTTGATCAAAACTGGCAAGCCCTCCTGAAGGCGTGGAATTGAAAATTAGAATGCAGAGTTAGACAATCCCCTCCTGTCATATTTATCTTAGCGCGAGTGTATGTGTAGAAGTCTGCCCTAATTTGCTTTCATTCCTGGTAACATTTCGTATTTGAAGAACAGTTATAAAGTAACGTGACTCTGTGCCAACTCAAGTGTTTGCTGTAGTTGATGAAGTTTGTTGGTTTGTCAGAGCATGGTATTTTCTGGTGAGCAACACTTTGGTGACAGGAGGTGGTTTCCCTATTAATGGCTGGCTGCTTCAACTTCTCTGTAAAAGAATGTGAATCTTCCCCCTCCTCCTAATTTCATTGCCTAGGGAAGAGGTAGATCTAAAAATTCTGGTAATATTAATTAATTTCATGTCCTTAGTTTGATTTTGATATGCTTTTTGTTTTTTAAAAAATTTCTGGATCCATAAGTGAAAAGAAAACTAATAAAAGAGAAAATTAGGGAAGTTTTCAGACAAGTAGAGTTTGACCAAACAGTAGGAATCCAATTTGGCAATTTGTAATGTTTACATCATATTTCCAAAGAAAAATCATTCAGGGCACTTACCAAGTATTAACTATTGTCTCATCAAAGTTTCAGAGAAGACTGATAACTTTCCATGTTTAGAGACATATGTAGGGCTTTCTTTCAGATAATACAGCAGCATTTCACTAGGGAGCAAAATTACCTGAAAATGTATCAAGTTTCAAATAGTTCTCAGCACAAATTAGGTGCAGCTGTTCCCCTTGCCTTTGAAAGAATGGTAAAAGCTGGCCTTAGAAAATCTGTGAGCCTGAGTTACTGATTTTTTTTTAAGCGTCTTCAGAGGATATTTGGAAATATTGTTCTTAACTTTGAGCCATGACATGGTTCCATTATGTAAATATTTCAAATATTAAAATGTATATATTTGATCTTGGGGACTCATTCTTTGAGATTCTTGTAAATAAATGGCATCATGTTGAAATTGTGTGGTGCGTACTACAAAACTTGAAAGTGTGGACTGATATGGATTTGATTTTTATGACATCAAAAGGTCAAAGAGGTCATTTACCTTTTGAATGAATCTAATATGCATCTATGGAAATACCTCTAAATATAATGCTGTAACTTAATTCTGGTTTCTCAAGGGGAAATGTAACATACTCCTTGATATTTACAAGTTTATATACTGGTCTTTTCCTTAGATTCATTCCCCAGCCAACTTCAGGTAAATTTAATTTCCTTTGCTGTTCCTTTCTTACACTCTGATTTCTGTTTTATAACTTAACATGTCCAGGAGATTTAAGCATCTCCAGGCAAGTTTTTGGCAGGATTCGAGTTCATATCCCAACATCTCTTACAAGTGAGCCCAAGTGATCACAGTAAAGCAAGTCTAGGAAGTTAACCTGATGCCGTTTCCAATCAACGGTTCGCTTCACGACGAGCCTGTCAGTTCTTAGAGCATTTTTTTGGTTTTTTTTTCTCTTCTAGAATTTTGTGCAAACAATTGAACATGTATAAGTCAGTGTATTCTAATATCTTGGAAAATACACTTGAGAAATTTCTATTAAACCTCTTAATTGTCTCGATTATGTTTACCATAAGTTAAAACTGTATGAAACTCCTAAAACACTCTTGACTCTTTTCATTTACCCCTTAAAAATGTTCTGTACATTATGTACAAGGAGGAAAGGTGAGTATACAGCTGAAGTAGTTCTGCTTAGTGTACACCTGGATTGCCTGGGCTGGGGGTCGGGGCTGTTGAAACAGACTTAGTGATTTGGCAGGTTGGTTTTCTGAACCAGGCACTGCCAGGAATAGCTGATCCAGGAACTAAACTTGGACTCTTTTAATGTGTCTGTTTAGAATTATTTTTCATTGACAGGCTACTCACATGCATCCTTTTAAAAGAGGATTTTTCAAGCATACATTGATGTTATGTTACAATCCTAGACGTAAAATGGGCTTTTTGAGTGGTGTCTGGTAGCAGCCCTGTTACGGCCGACTTGACCCGTGCCCTGACCCGTGTTTCCAGGTGGAGTCTTACCCAGGGCTTCCCTTCACCTGTATGGAAGTGTTAGCTAGTGGCTGTGTGGATTAATATTCATCTGCAGTAATGCCAGATCTTGTGGCAAGGTGAGAAAACGTTGGACTGCCGAGTTAAACTGAAGTAAACACTGTGTCATTTATGTTTTCCTAGAAATTTGAGTTTTAAATATAAATGTAAGTTATGCAGAGGTCAACTTTTCCTAGCAAGTTCTGTGGCCTTCTCCAGCTAGTACCAGGAAACCAGTGAGAAGTTGTGTCAAATGATTACTGGTTTTCCTGGTTCATGTTTCAGCCTTCTGATAGCAATATGAAGTCAGAAAATAATTTTGTTCAGCAAAAGATAAACCTAATTTGTAAGTGCTGCTGGAGGACTAAAAATCCTAAGGGAGTCTAGATGTCAAGCAGAAAATGCAGATACCTTTTAGACCCTGAAGCTGTTAATGCTATGTTCCTGCTATAGATCAAAGTGAGTTTTTTATTTCAAATCAGTAGGTTTTCACATGACTGTGGTATATTGCAATATTTATGTATGTTTGCACTCAGTTTCTTTCCTTTTGCCTTTAATTATCAGATTTTTTTGTATGTTTCATTTATTGAGTCATGAAAGCCAAATTAGGAGCAATGATTTTAAATGACCAGAAAAATAATTTCTTCAAAATGAAATAAAAAATCTTTCTCAGCCATATTGTTTCAGTTAAATGGTACTGATGAATCTCCCTGTCAACATCACGTTAGTTGGATAGATGACTTTCAGATTCCTCTCCAAATAATTGTGTATATTGTATTTAACTTTAGTCATTGAGGCTTGAGCTAAAAAGACCAAATGGCCATTCTTAAGAGGGTAACTAATATGATCAGAACATTAGATCTATCTTGTAGTTACATATTTTCATGATGTATGAAATATTGCAAACTTTCTGTGTTTAAGCTAAATGGAGGTGATAACAGGTATCAGATTATAGTGGTAACAAAATGATGGTACAGGACCCTGCACGGTGGCCTAGTGGCTAAAGTCCTCACCTTGAACACACTGGGATCCCATATGGGCATTGGTTTTATTCCTGGCAGGCCCCGCATCCCATCCAGCTCCCTGCTTGTGGCCTGGGAAAGCAGTGAAGGATGGCCCAAAGCCTTGGGACCCTGCACCCTTGTGGGGAGACCTGGAAAAAGTTCCTGTCTCCTGGGTTCAGATCAGTGTAGAACTTGCCTTTGTGGTCACTTAGGGAGTGAATCATCAGATGGAAGATCTTCCTTTGTCTCTCCTACTATGTTTGGCTTTGGAATAAAAGTAAATCTTTTTTTAAAAAAATGATGGGGCCCGGCGCGGTGGCGCAAGTGGTTACAGCACTGCCTGGAATGCCCTCATCACCTTCGAGTGCTGGATTTCAAGTCATAGCTTCCTGCTAATATGCAACATGGGAGGCAGCACTTGGCACTCAAGTAGTAGGATCTGGTTTGAGCTCTGGGCTCCTGGCTTTGGCCTTGCCCAGTACCACGTCTGGTGGGCATTTGGGGATTGAAAAGTTGAATAGCTAGAGCTGGTGCAGTAGCATAACATCTCCACCCATAGCTCTGGTGTTCCATGTGGGTATCAGTTTTAGTCACAGCTGCTCCACGTCAGCTATAGCTTCCTGCTAATATGCTGGGCAGGCAGAGGAAGTTGGCCCAAGTCCTTGGGTGTCTACACCCAGGTAATAGACCTGGGTGAAGTTCTTAGCTACCAGCTTGGGACCAGCTCAGCTTTGGCTGTAGCAGCCACTTAGAGAATGTGCCAGCTGACGTAAGATATGTTTTCTCCCCATTGGTCTCTGATTTTTTAAGTCTTGAACAGCTTAAATTAAAGGGCCTGAAATTCCAGCACCCCATATGGATACTGGTCAGGTCCTAGCTGGTCTACTTCCCATCCAGCTGCCTGCTATTGTGTTTGGGAAAGCAGCAGAAGATGGCCTAACTGCTTTTGGCCTCCGTACCCATGTGGGAGGCCTGGAAGAAGCTTAGGGCTCCTGGCTTTGTACTGGCTGAGCTCCAGCTGTTGTAGCCTTTTGTGGTGCAAGCCAGTGTGCAATTTCTCCCTCTGAACCCTGCCTTTCAAGTGGAAAAATAAAACTTAAGTGGAAATGAGGTTTTTTTTTTTAGTAAGCAGTGGTTCATATTTGGAAACTAAGTCTGGAAAGATAAGCAAACAGAGTCTGGCTTTCCCCCCTCGGAAAGGCAGATTTGCAGGGAAAAGGAGAGAGATGCCTTCCATATTCTGATTCATTCCTCAAATAACTGCACTGGCCAGAGATGAACCTATTTGAAGTCAGGTGCCAGGAACTTTTCGGGGGGGTCTCCCATGCAGGTGCAGTGTGCCAAGGTTGTCCCGTATTAGTAAAGATAAACTACTTTTGTGTAAAGTGTTAGTGAATCATTGCCTTAGGATTACTTCTGTGGAAAACAGGTCATTTTGATTGACCAGGCCATGACTATAGTAGTCGCTTGATCCAGCCTCTTAAGCTTTTTCCATTAGGTTTTCTATTTTACTATTTAAAAATGCCTAAGATTAGGTTGGAGTGTAGAGGGTCAGGGAGAAGTTGGGTAAGATTGTTTTTTTCTGCTGTTTTTGGGGGGTCAGGTAGTGGGGCTGAGAGTATACGACTACTTCCTTCACATCAGGGGACAGAGACAGTTGTTTGAAATCGCTTTAGAGACCCCTTAAGGGGATCAATGTTTGGAGAGTATTACTTGAGTGGTCTCAATTGTTGTGCAAAGTTGTCAGCTTCCTAGCACAGGAGGTGGAAACTTGTATCAATGGCCTATTGGCTGTCCCTGATTGCCTTGGCATGTCCTCAAAGGTATGTAGGTGTGTGTTTGCTGTAAAGCCTGGCCTGAAGTGTTGGGGAGCCCACCACCCACCAAGAAGCCTCACACAGGAGGACTTTAGACCTGCCTCAGGTGCATTGGTGGTGATGCAGGGCCAGTTCCAGCCTGCCCCCTGCTTCAGCCATCACATCTAGCAGTGGGTACAGCCACCTGGCTAGTCCTACTTCATGCCAGACTCCCAGGAACCGGTGAGTCCTACTGTCTAGGCCAGCTTGGCCTGCCCTCAGGCGTGGCTCTCGTGTGTACATATACTTTGGCCTAGGGTAGGGCAACCCGAGAAACGTCTATTATCCCCAGCTTTTGTATGTGGTAGTTGAAGTGGCCTTAACCCGACCTGCCTGCCTCCAGCCCCAGCTCTGATGCAGCACCTATGCTAGTACTGCCAGGGAGTGGCATCTTTGGGACAGCAGACCTAGAAAGACAGCAGCAACTAGAAAAAGCTGGGACTTGGGTAAGCCACATCATGCCAGGTGTGGTTTCAAACACACGAAATCACCTGATGGGCGATGGGTCAATCTCCTTGTTTTTCAAATACAACTTGTTCTCCTGATACCTTGGTAGGATTGAGAACGAACAGGTGGAAAAAGGGATTCAGCATTGATGTTTCAGGAATATCGAAGGTAAAAAACTTACTTAATTGGGGTGGGCATGGTAGCCCAGTGGCTAATGTCCTCACTTTTCATGCACTGGGATCCCATATGGGCACTGGTTCTAATCCAGCAGCCCTGCTGCTCATCCAGTTCCCTGCTTGTGGCCTGGGAAAGCAGTCGAGGACGGCCCAAAGCCTGAGACCCTGCACTCGTGTGGGAGACCTGGAGGAGACTGGGCTCCTGGCTTCAGATTGGCTCGGCTCCAGCCATTGCAGCCACTTGAGGAGTGAATCACGGGATGGAAGATCTCTCTCTCCTCCCCTCTGTATATCTCACTTTACAATAAAAAAAAAATTGGGCCAAATGCCATGTTATCAAGAATTTTAGTTTGTTTTCTGATGACCCGTGAAAGTATATGGTAGGATACATGGTTGACTTTACAGGGATGTGTAAGACTGGTGTGCTGGGCCCGGCGCGGTGGCCTAGTGGCTAAAGTCCTCACCTTGAACTCAATGGGATCCCATATGGGCACCAGTCTAATACTGGTAGATCCCACTTCCCATCCAGCTCCCTGCTTGTGGCCTGGGAAAGTAGCCATTACGCTATTTGAGGAGTCTTGCCTTCTCTCTCTAACTTTGCGTTTCCAACAAAATTTAAAAAATGTTGTTTCTTGGCCTTTCCCCAGGCATCATTAATTCTGAGTCTAAATGGTGGAAGAAGACACAGATACTATCCATCCCAGTTAGCGCTGTTTTGATTGTGATGCACCTGTGTCACTTTGAAAAAACATACATAGAAATGTGAAACGTTGGATTTAATATGCCGTCGCTTGCTGGCCGGGAGAAGCACAGGCTGGCCTCAGTTCATGCAGAAACTGCCGCTTCAGCTCTAGTGCAGTCTAGGAGAACACTCCCCAACCTCCATTCCTGCCAGCTCATCAGGCCCCACATTCCGCCCCGACCGGCGGAAGCTCCGCCTCCTTTGCCAGGGCCCCGCCCCTTTGCGTTGGTCCCGCCCAGTTGGCAGACCGCCAACGGCGCCAGAGCCGGAAATGACGACAACAGTGAGTCCTCCGAGGCGGGGCCTGGGACGGGCAGCTCCCGGTCCGCGATTTCACATCGGAAACAAAACAGCGGCTGCTCGGGAAGGAAACCTGGGCTGTGCGCGGGAGGCGGCGGCGGGGAAAGAGTAGGTTGGTGGCGAGGAGTCCGGGGAGCGAGGACGGCCGCTCTGACTTGGCGAGGTCCCGGGCGGCCGCGCGTCGGGCCCGGCCCTTGGTCACCACCCGGGGCCGCGGACCCTGGTCCTGGAGGATGAGGGGCGGGGCGCGGCCGGGCGGAGGCTGCGGAGCCCGGCTGGAGAAACGCCGAAGGGCGGCTGGCTTCTGGGGGCTCGGGGGATGCTCCGGGCGCGGCGCCAGAGTTCCTCGCGGAGGCTTGGACCGGCAAAGCCGGCTTCCCGAGGGCGTGTGGGGGCGCAGGTGTCTTGGGCCGTGGTTGATCGTTTTTTGTTTTGTTTTGTTTTTGTGGGGAGTCGAGGAGAAAGAGGAAGCACCTTGGGTCGGGGCGCCTCGTGCCCTGACAGTGGTACTCAGGGCTGGCCGCGTTTGAGGCGGAAAACGAGGCGCTCTCCTGTGTGC